GTCTCGCCAAGTTGCCCAGGCGGGTCTCGAACCTGCGGGCTCAGGCAATCCCCTCACCTCAGCCTCCCAAAGTGCGGGATTACAGGCCGAGCCACCGAGCCCGGCTTGCCCACTGAATTTTAAACGTTGAGGCCTGAGGGCACCAGGTGAGGGGGAGGGGTGATGTGGCTAGCCTGCACCCCTAGAATTGCCCCTGGACCCGCCCTGGCTGTAGGAGGCTGGGGCTCAGGAGGGTAGCCTTTGCCCTTCAGGAACCTGAGAGGGGGACTCGCTGCTTCCTTTCCACGGATGTGGAAACCGAGCCCGGGGAGGCAAGGGAGGCTCCGGGGCCACATGCCCTGTGGCACGAAGCTGGCGAACGCGGGATGGGAGGCCAGGCTGCCCTCTGGGCAAGGTCAGTGGCCTCACTGTCTCTGCCCTCTCAGGCTGTGGAAGAAGGTATGGCTGGTGCCCAGCCCCAAGCAGTTCTTCCAGCCCCTGTACGAGGCCCACAGAGGAGACTTCAAGGTGAGCATCCCTCCCCGTGACGAGCCGCGCTCCGCCCTCGCCCGGCACCCCCACCTCACTCTGCAGGCCCAGAACATCCAGGTCCCAGCCAGGCCTCGGTTTCCCCGTCTGCACAGTGAAGGCATGGGAGTTCAACAAGACCACGCAGCATGGCCAGGCGCTGCGGGGGCCAGCTGCTGCTTCTGTTAGGCCCTGGAACCTCTGCTGAGGAGCCGAGCTGCGGCGGGGTGAACCCTGGGGGTCTCTGGAGTCCCCCCCCCACCAGGAGCCCTGGGTCAGGGTGGAGAGGCCCGGGGTTCTGGGAAGGCTGCGGCCCCGCCCACACAACACCCAGCCTCCCCAATGCCTCCACCTCGCACCCGCCGGCGCCCACAGGGTGGCCCGTGCCCATTTACGGCTCATAACCCACCCCGCGGTGTGGGCGGGGCCTCGCAGAGAGGATGTGGTGATGGGCGGGAGGGGCGCCCGCCTTCCCCAGCGAGACTGAAGCCAGACGCCCGGACCTAGGGCCCGGATCGAGCTCCTGCTGTCTGCCTGAGGCCACGCCGAGCACCCGCCCAGCCTCCCTCCGCGGGTCCTCACAGTGGTCCCTGCCCTGCAGGGGTGGGCGCTGCACATCCCCAGGGCACCCACTAGGAAACCGAGGCTCAGAGAGGAGCAGCGGCTTGAGCGGGGCAGGGCAGGAACGTGTACTCCAGCCCACTGGACCCACCCTTTCATCTTCCCTGAAGTTCAAATACCCCCTTTTCCTTGTGTTTTTATGGGGACTCAGACGGTACTCGCTCCAGACCAGGCACTCCACTAGGAGCGTCACACACAGTTACTTATTTACCTTCACAACAACCCCAGGGGTGGGCACTGATATTAGGCCCATTTCACAGATGAGAAAACAGACACAATAACTGACTCACGGCCAGGCATGGTGGATAACGCCTGTCACCCCAGCACTTTGGGAGGCCGAGGTGAGAGGATCACTTGAGACTAGGAGTTCAAGACCAGCCTGGGCGATGTAGTGAGACCCCCATCCCTACAACCCACCGCCAACAATTAGCTGGGCGTGGTGGCGTGTGATTGCAGTTGCTGCCACTTGGGAGGCTTAGGCGGGAGGATCGCTTGAGTCCAGGAGGTCGAGGCTGCAGTGAGCTGTGATTGTGCCACTCTACTTCCGCTCGGGAAGAAAAATAGCTCCAGGGTGCACAGCTGAGAAGTGACCCCCGATCCTGGCCTCGCCATGGTTCTGAGACAAGGCCCAAGGAAGAGCAGCTCAGAACGGGGAGATTCCCGTTCTCAGGGGCTTTCTCTGCCGCTGGGATGGAGCTTGCTGCGTCATGAGTGAGACTCCTGGCAGGGAAGGGGAGGAGGACCTCAGAGTTTCAGGGCCACTGTCTTGGTCGACGTCAGCCACGTCTGCTGTTCACAAAGTGCACAAAGGCCTCTCCAGGTGGCCTTTCGTCGTTTCACTCCACTAATTCAGCCGAGCTGTGTGCCAGGCAGGGAAGACACAGCTGTGAACGGGAGAAGTGGGGCTTCTGCCCCCCCCCCGAGTGTCCATCGAGTAGGGACCCGTGAACAGGAGAATGTGAGGTTTCAAGAACGTCAGCAGGGGTGGGGGGGCGCTCAGACTTCAGGGGCTCCTGCCCACGTGTTCCCCCGACTTGGGAATCTTGGCCCTGCCCAGGCCACAGGGCCTCCGGGCGGCCGTCTGGGTGAGCAACTCCCTACTACAAATGAGGAAACAGGCCCAGCGTGGGGAAGGGACAGTGGTGGGGACCCCCACCAGACAGGAGCACGCCAGTTCTGCTCCTTGCCTTCTCGTGTCTTCGTCTCTCTCCGTGTCTGTCTTTCTCGCTTGCTGTCTCTGTCTTGCTCTGTCTCTGCCTGTTTATACCCTCACCTCTCCCCCGTCCCACCCCCTAACTCTCTCTTTTCTCGTTCACAGAAATGGGTGGGCTCACCCTTCACTGCCTCCAGTCTGGAGCTAGGACCCCGGGGCACAGGGGCACCCTCACCCCTGGAAGTGTTCCACTGCTCCTCACCGGGTCCGGCCAAGGGGCTGGAGCCCACAGAGCAGCCCGAGCTGGCGGACCCAGTGGAATCGGATGGCGTGCCTGAGCCCGGCGGCTGGGGCCCCACCACTGCGGGCGGCTCGGCTCACAGAGAGGAGGGGGCCCGGCCGTACGGCCTGGTGTCCATCGACACAGTGACCGTGGTGGACGCAGAGGGGCCGTGCGCCTGGCCCTGCAGCTGCGAGGACGACGGCTACCCAACCCTGGACCTGGACGCTGGTCTGGAGCCCGGCCCGGGCCTGGAGGACCCACTCTTGGGCGCGGGGACCACAGTCCTCTCGTGCGGCTGCGTCTCGGCTGGTGGCCCTGGGCTGGGCAGTCTCCTGGACAGGCTAAAGCTGTCCCTCGCGGATGAGGAGGGTTGGGCCGCCGGGCCGCCCTGGGGGGCCGGGCCGCCCAGTGGGGTGGCAGAGAGTGAGGCGGGCTCGCCCCTGGCCGGCCTGGACATGGACACCTTTGACAGCGGCTTCGCGGGCTCTGACTGCGGCAGCCCCGTGGACTGCGACTTCGCCAACCCCAGGGACGAAGGGCCCCCGAGGAGCTACCTCCGCCAGTGGGTGGTCGCGGCACCCCCACTGTCGGGACCCGGGCCCCAGGCCAGCTAGGGAGGCTGCCTGGCCGTCCAGCACTGGCCAGAGATGCGATCCCCTGGGCCGTGGTGTGAAGGGACCGTCAGCCTCCGGTCTCCCTGAGGACCTCCGAGCTGGTGTCCACAGTGTGTGTGCACACAGACTTGTGGCTTCCACACGTGGGTGTATCCGTGTGTGTGCACCGCGTGTGCCCGTGAACACAGGCGCACCCCCACGGGATGCCACGCGTTCCCCTGCCGCTCATACACAGACAACAGCCTCCCCTTCTAGCGGGTCCACCAGCGGGTCCACCAGTGGGTCCACGGCGCCCCCAGGGCCTCCTGGGATCAGGACGTTGCCTGTGACAGACGTCAAGCCGAGCCTCCAGGCCCTGCCTCCAAGAGCCACTTCTCATCCACACCGTGCCTCGCCACCTCTCAGCAGGAAGAGGAGGGAAACACAGTGACCCCGGGGGTGGGCAGATGTGGGGGACCCACAGGCACAGTCTGAATTCCAGTTCTGATGCTTCCTGACTGTGCCATCTGAGCCAAGTCACCTGCCGTCTCTGGGCTAGAATGTCCTTGTCTAGACAGCGGGGACACCGAGGCCCGCCCAGGGGAAACCGGTGAGGCCTCCCACATGCAACGAGCAGCCCCTCCGTGAACGTCAGCTTCCTTCCTCCTGCGGCCAGGACCAAGGCTGGCATGGAGGGGAGGCAGGTGGGGTGAGAAAACCAGCCTGGCGCTCGCAAGGCCATCCCACCCAGCCGAGGGGCACCGGGGCTTTCCAGGCTTCAAGCCAGCCAGTCCTGTCTCTTGGAAGCAGCTCTCTGCCAACCAAGGGTTCTTTTTCTGGCTTCTGCTCATTTCTTTCGAAAACTCTGTTGATGCACCCAAGAGATATTTGTTGAGCACACTATACGAGCCAGGCACAAGGCCACGGGACCACCACCCCCCCGGTCCCCGTGGCACTCGTGGTGGGGTGGACAGAGGGACCGGCAGGAGTGACAGTGTGCGCCCAGTCAGACAGCCCGCTCTGCCCTGCCACGCACCCCCGGCATCTTATTTGTCACCCTGGGGAGTTAAGGGAGGTCAGCGCTTTCTCAGGGAACCTGTTGAAATGTGAATTCAGAAGCTGAGAAAACACTTCTTGGCGGCATTTTGAAGGCCCCTCACCAAACACAGTTTTGGTATAGGAGCTCAACCCAGGTGCTAGGTGTTACACAAAACTCAGGATGTATGTATTTGTAAAGAAAATAGATGGTTTTCCCCCAAGGTGTTCCTCTTAGAGGTGGCTTGACTTTTTCAAGGCCAAGCAGGAGCCAGGCACAGCAGCTCATGCCCGTCATCCCAGCATGCGGGGAAGCTGAAGTGAGAGGCTGGTTTGAGGCCAGGAGTTCAAGGCCAGCCTGGGCAACATGGTGAGACCTCGTCTTCGCAAAAAATAAAAAAGTAACCCAGGCGTGGTGGTGCGTGCCTGTAGTCCCAGCTGCTGAGGAGGCCGGGGCAGAAGGATCGCCTGAGCCCAGGAGGTCGAGGCTGCGGTGGCTATGAGGGTGCCACTGCGCTCCGGCCTGGGCGACAGAATGACAGCGAGACCCTAACTCAGTAAGACTAAGCTGGGCTGAGGCAGCAGAGTCTGAGTCAACTCAGGAGCCCGGAAGGGAATCTCCAGCCTGGCTCGCCACGCCGGGGCCCCGTCGCCTTCCCCAAAGGCTCTGCAGTGTGCAGGGTGACGTCTGGGGAGGCAGCTCTGGCGTGTCCCTGCTTCAGGAGCAAAGCTGGGCCAGAGGTCAGTCCTGCCGAAAGCCTCCCTGTGACTCATCCGTCAAACGAGGTGGTTGGGACAGGTCCCCAAGAGCAGGAGGGTCCTCGGTGCTGGGTGTGAGGTTGGAAAATTCTAGACATTGTTGGCCTCCATCGAGGGACGGTGAACCTGGGATCGGGGTGTGCGAGCTCAGGCAGCAGCGTGACAGCGAAACCACAGCTCCTCCGCCGGCGAGCAGCCCTCCCCGCCCCCCGCCGGCACCCAGAGACTCTCGGCCAAGGTGTGCTGTGGTTTTCACACCCTCGTGGAGGCAGCAGGTCCCGGCACCACCTGCGGGTGCCACCGAGCCGCAAGCTCCCCGGGGGCCCAGCTCCACTCCCCTGCCAGGGGCCGGGGCGGACAGCACCCCGGGGACCGAGGCCAGGCCTGGGGGGGCTCTGGCCTGAGCAGACGCGGCGCCTCGAGAGCCCACCTTTGGAAGAGACTGGGCTCATGAACAGGAGCACAGAAGGTTGGAGACAAGAGCCGGCCCACCTGGAAGGAAGGTGGGCCCGTGGGCGGGTGGATTCGTAGGTGGGCGGGTGGGCGGGAGGGTGCCGCAAAGCCCGAAGGAAGAGGCTGGGTGCAGGGCCTGTAACCCCAGCACTGGGAGGCCGAGGCGGGAGGATCACTCGAGCCCAGGAGTTAGGCCCGGTGAGCTGTGATCCCGCCACGGCACTCCAGCCTGGGCCACAGGTAGGCAGAGGCTGGAGACCGGGACGACAGATGAGATACAAGCTCTGCGGGGCTGGCCTCCCTGTCTTGCTCACTGCTTTGCCTCCTTGGGCACACAGCAGGCACTCAATAAAGCCCGTTGTGTCGCATTTGCTTACTCCCATGGTGTAGATACATCCAGCGTGGCCCACTTCGGGCTCCCGACTCCAAGGAAGGAACGAAGGAATGAATGACTCGGAGCAGCGCTGGGAAGAATGGGCACAGTCGGCTCCCCGGGCCGGGGCGAGGGCTCCGGGGCGGCCTGGGTGTCTGTGGGACTTTGGGAGAGGGGCAGGAGTTAGGGGTGGACTCGCCATGGCGGAGCTTAGGCAGAGGCCTGGAGCTGTGACCAAGGACGGCGGGCAGTGAACAGGCGGCTGTGAGTCCCCCAAAGTCCAGGCGGAGATGGTTCACAACTGTCTCTTAAGAAGAAGGGGGGCCGGGCTCGGTGGCTCACACCCGTAATCCCAGCACTTCGGGAGGCTGAGGCAGGAGGATCCCTTGAGCTCAGGAGTTAGAGAACAGCCCGGGCAACATAGCGAGACCTCATCTCTACCAAAAAATCAAAAAATAAGCTGGGCATGGTGGCCCGCACCTGTAGCCCCAGCTACTCGGGAGGCTGAGGCAGAAGGATCGCTTGAGCCCAGGAGGTCGAGGCTGGGGTGAGCTGTGATCGTGTGCCTGCACTCCAGCCTGGGGGACAAAGCAAGACCCCAACTCAAAAAAAAAAAAAAAAAAAAGGAGGGTCACAGTAACACTCCTTCCGTGGCCAACATGCCCACTCCCTGCCCTCTGCAGGCTCTGGAGCCTTTGGCAAATGCCACGAGGCACAGAATGAGACGGGGACCTGGCTGAGGTCACACGCTGACTTGATGGTCCAGGCAGAACCTGGACTGGTCCCCTCGTGCCCCTTTCAGCTCATCCTCACCGTGCCCCCTGGAGGGGACTGTGCCCAGCTGGAGGGAACCTTCGCAAGCCCCCGTGGGTCAGGGCCTGTGGGTGTTGTGACCCAGCCCTGGCCGGGAGTGGCCATGTGGCCCAGGCCTGGCCAACAGGGCGTTCCATGCCCTGGCAACAGGGCATTTCAGGGACAGGCCCTCAAGGCTGGTCTGTGCTCTCTACTGGGATTGCTGAGCTGGGTGCCAGGAGGGGACAGCTGGCCTGAGGTGAAACCACACTCGAGGACGCAGAACTGACAGAAACAGACAAAGTCCTGGTACTGCCCCTTGAGGTCCTGCATCCAGTCATGCCCGAAACTACACGTCTGGACATTTTAGGTACCTGATAGTTCCAGTTTTCAGGGTTTGGGCCCCGTGGCAGGGCTGCCTCTCCTGGCCCCTGCTGGATGGACAGGCCGCAGGACAGGCTGGCCAGTGAGTGGAGAGTGGGAGTGGCCAGCCTCGCTTCCGGTCAGAGCATTTTTCTGATGGGTTCAAGTGCTCTCTAACGGAATTTCCCTCCCTGCCCCGGTGGGGACCAAGACGGCAACGGCTCCATCAGTCCGAGGTCCCTAGAGTGAGGAGACGTGGCCGAAGTCTCCAGCTCACTACATGGCCGTGGATCGGGTGTGGGAAATGTGTCCCTTGTTGGAAGCCGCAGAGGCGGAGCTGCCTGTCACCCAGCCCGCCCCGGCTGAGTCCACGAGCTGATCCGCTTCCTTCTCTGCGGGCGCCGGTTCGGGGTGGGCTCCTATCCCTCTCCGCAGAAAGCATTCTGGCGTTATTCCAGCATCACCCCCTGATGAGGACGCTCCCCCGGCCGGAGGAAAGACCCCTGGAAAGGGACGGAGGCCCGAGCTCCGTGTTTCTCGTGAATGACCAGCCTCAGCTTCCTTTTCTTCCTGTTTTCATTTTAGATGCGGGGGTCTACGGGCGTGTTCCTTAGATGGACGTGCTGCGTAGTGGGGGCCTGGGTCTCAGGTGGCCCCTGGGGAGGCAGTGAACACTGTACCCAGTAGGTCTCCTCTCTCGTAAAGTAGGGACAGGAATCGGCCTCTGGGCTTGCTCTGGGGGTGACAAGAGGGGGGCCAGCCTTCCTCAGAGGTGGGCTTCCTCCGTCTGGCCAGCACCCCGGGTTCACGAGGCCGCCCTCCAGATGTCCTGAGCCTGCATCGCCCTCTGCTGGCATTTTAGGAGCCCTGAGCCCCAGCTCCCGACACCCACAGCGACTGCGAGGCTGGGCCTGGGACGCTGTCTGGGCGTTCCAGACGCGCTCAGAGCTCCGAGAGGGAGGAGGCAGAGGGACACGGAGGCCCAGAGGAGGCAGTCCCGCCCCACTCCTGGGCTCCTTTTGGCCTCCCTGTTGGACGGGAAGCCCTGTCCTCACTTCTGTCCGGGGATGCCGGGGCCTGGCTGCCAGCCCCACCGGGAGGCACAGCCCTCCCCGGCCCGTCCGAGTCCCGGGGGCCCCACGGGGAACCAGGAGCAGGACTTGGCAGCGGAGGACAGAGCCGGGGCGTGCGCACCACCCTCCTTGGGAGCCCCTTTGGTCAGCAGTAGAGGAAGAAGCAGCCTCAACCCTCAACAAGGAAGACAAGGGAGAGGGACTGCGTCAAGCACCCACAGGCCGGGCGCCATGACTCACGCTTGTAATCCCAGCACTTTGGGAGGCCAAGGCCGGAGGATCGCTTGAGCCCAGGGGTTCAAGGTCAGCCTAGGCAACGTAGCGAGACCTCACCTCTACAAAAAATAATTTCAAGATTGGCCGGCTGCCTGGAGACCCGTGCCTGGAGTCCCAGCTCCTCGGGCGGCCGAGGCATAAGGACTGTCTGAGCCCAAGAGGTTGAGGCTGTGGTGAGCTGTGATCGTGCCAGTGCACTCCAGCCTGGGCCACGGAGTGAGACCCTGACTCAAAAATATGAAACAACGAAAGTGAAAACAGCCACACCTTCGAGGGAAACGAGAGGACGGAGACAGGTCTTGGCTCCATGTCACCTTCTTGGTGGGGCCCACTGGGCGGGGCTCCTGTCTTCCCAGCACTCACGGGCCTCCTTGTGTCTTTCTGTCACAATTAACTCCACTCGAGGCCGGGCTCGGTGGCTCAGCCTGTAATCCCAGCACTTTGGGAGGCCGAGGTGAGGGGATTGCCTGAGCCTGCGGGTTTGAGACCCCCCTGGGCAACTTGGTGAGACCTTGTCTCTACAATAAATCAAAAAGTAGCCGGATGTGGTAGCGCATGCCTGTAATTCCGGCTACCCGGAAGGCTGAGGCGGAAGGATCGCCGGAGCCCAGCGGGTCGAGGCTGCGGTGGCCGGGAGCGGCCACTGCCCTCCTGCCTGGGCGACAGAGTGAGACTCCAACTCAAAAAAACCCAAAAAAACTCCACTCAAGCACACGCAGCCGTTACTTGTGTTCACCGTCTACCCCTGGAGCAGGGTTTAAGCCTCTGCTCTGTCTCCGAGCCCAGGAGAGCGCTGGCGCCCAGCCAGCACCCCGAAATACCGAAGGAAGGAATCAGTCCATCCCTGGCAGAGCAGACTGGCTAAGCAGGGGCCAGAGAGGAGGGAACTGTCCGCCCCGGGCCTGGACGGGTCGCAGGCCGGGATGCCAGAGGGGGCAGGCAGCCTCCTGGGAGGTCTGTGAACGGGCAAGACCACGGGGCAACTGTGGGTCTCCCCCACCCCAGGGCGACACCCGTGAAGGCTTTTCTTTACGAGACTGAAGGTCCCAGGTAAGAACCCCCGACGCCCTGCCCTTGAGGGGTCTCCGGCACGGTGGCGGGCGCCCCTCACCACCCCAAAGCAAACTCCGTTCTAGAAGGGGGAGTGGAGGGGAGCCCTGAGCCAGCTGACCCGCCTCCTGGCCTCCAGCCCTGGGGGACGGTTTTGCCTCCCCCCGTGCCTCGGTTTCCTCTGACGTCGAACGGGTCTACCGACCGGGCATGCTTCTCAGGGCCGTTGGGAGGCCGGGAGCCCTCGGCGCCGCCGCATGGTCGACTTCACGACAAGGCGAGCCGCTCCGGTCAGTTTCTGCAGCCCTCGCCCTCCAGCACCGACCAAGCCGCAGGCGTCAGGACACTGAAGCGCCCACGGGAAACAGGCGCGTGGGCTGCCGGTGCCACCTGCTGGCGAGCACGGGAACCGGCGGGGACGGGGCCACGCGTGTGCGTCTGCCTAGGGCTGTCCCGACCCCAGACGGCCCTCCCTGCAGCCCTCTGCGGTGGGGAGCAGGGGTGGTGAGGACAGAAGGCTCTTGTTCTCCATTCCACGAGGGCTGCTTTCCACCCCTTGGGTGGGCGGACCTCTGTCGGGCACCGGGAGTGGGATGGAGCGCCCCTAAGCCGGGACGTCACATGCACACACACACCCACGTGCACACACATGCGCGCGCACGCATGCACACATGCATGCAGGCACAAACGCGTATATACACAGATACACACATATGCATGCACATCTGGAAAACCGTTTGCAGAAGTGGGCCGAGGGCCGTGGGAAGAATGAGTGGCCGGAAGTTCAGGGGACGGGAGATCGCTCAACCAAGCCTTCAGGAAAGGAGACTGGGAGGGAGGGACGGGGGAGTAGGAGGTGGCTGGCAGCAACAGGCTGGAAAAGAGCCGAGAAAAGGCTGGGTGCGGTGACTCCTGCCTGTAATCTCAGCACTCTGGGAGGCCGAGTTGGGAGGATCGCTTGAGGCCGGGAGTTCGAGGCCAGCCTGGGCAACATAGTGAGACTTCGTCTCTAAAAAATACACGATCCGAGAAAAGCTTGGGGAAGGAATGGAGGCAGTGGTCAAGCCCTGGGAGGCAGCATGGTGGGCTGCGGGGACGTCTGCACCGGCGGCTCCCGTGACCAGGGAGGGCGCTCTCTGAGTGTGGTGCAGGCTGCACGAGGGCGCAGGGCGTGCTGGGAGCCCCTGCTCTCCAGGGTGGGCACAGGGAGGGGCAGGTCTGGGGGCCGTGGGGGGGTTCCGGAGGTGCCAGCCACATCTGCCCCATTTCAGAGAGTGAATCCATATCCTGCTTGTTCACAGAAAAAAAAATTAAGGGTGAGGAGGGCAAGACTACGGTGCAGGAAAACTAAGGACACAAAGGATGTCCAGGCCTGGTGTGGCGGCTGGCCAGCTGTAAGGAGGAGTGCCCACTTGACCGTGCCCTCCCTCCGTGTGAGACCTGACAGGCAGGCGAGACCTGAACAACCGCTTAGGCTGCTCTGGCAGCTGCAAAGGGACAGTAGACCCATCTTTGCCCCGTCACGGGTTTTATTTGGTTGCTAGTGCTCGATGTTTCTTCTAAACTTGCATGCCTTCACGGCCGGGACACGCATATTTCAGTTTTCCACCACTCCCTAGCATCACCCCGAAGTCCCTTCCTATCATCTATGCTACTTGCCTGGCCCCGGAAGGCGTCTCAGCTCACAAACTCGTGCCTACACTGTGGCTTTTGGAGACCTCTGTGTGGAGCTCGGAAGGGCAGCAAACCCTCAGATGGACGGTGAGTGGGGGTGAGGGACCGATGGACGGGTGAATGAACGAGGGCTTCGCGACGGGCAGAGGGAGGGAGAGAGCAGACCGTCCTTGGGCAGAATGGTAGGGGTGTGCAGGCCGGAGAAGCCCCGTCTCTCTGCTTGACAGCTGCCCCCAACCCCACAACCCATCTCCCCACGCCCCTCCACCCGGGGGTGAAGGCGAGTGCGCTTGGCCGAGTCCTACTAGGTGCTTGCACTTGGCATTCTTCAGCTCATCTGGTCCTCCCTCGGGGAGACACTCCATCCCTGTTTCTCAGATGAGAAAATCAAGGCTCTGAGCTGTGACTGTCAAGGTCAGTACTTTAAGAAACATTTGCTGCCTGAGCCTGTGGGTTCGAGACCTGCCTGGGCAACTTGGCGAGACCTCATCTCTACAATAAATCAAAAAAATTAGCTGGGCATGGTAGCGCGTGCCTGGAGTTCCAGCTACTTGGAAGGCTGAGGCGGAATGATCACCGGAGCCTAGCGGGCCAAGGCTGTGGTGGCCGGGAGCATGCCACTGCATTCTAGTCTGGGCAACAGAGTGAGACTCCAACACACACACACACACACACACACACAAAAGCAACATTTGCTGGACTTCCAAACCTGCCTTTCTTCCACCATACCATGAAATTCCAAAAACTAGCATTTGTTTTCTGTTTATGAAGCAATCATACCTGATATTCTACTTGATTGCCTTGAAAAATCTCATGGAACACTATTATTATTATTATTTACACTTGATTGAAAATGAAAACAGGAGAAAAAGATTGATGCTAAGACTTGACCATGGCTGTGCTGGTCCGAACTCCAGGCCCCTGCCCCGTCCCCATCCATACGCACCCAGAAGTCTGGCAGGGAGTGACCTGAACCCTGGTCCCTGGTGGAGGGAGGATGGAGACAGGGCAGGAAGTTGGGCCAGGAGAGAGGTCATAGGTCAAATGTCCCTCAGAGGAGGACACAGATGACTAGAATGGGGGGCTGTCTCACCGACAGGCAGTGGCCATACTCAGCACTCCTGTCAGGTGCAGGAAGTTAAGTCTACTGTTGCTAGAATTTTCCATTTTTCAAGAGAAGATATTTTAAAAAAATATATATATATTTAAAACATGTATGAAATTTTCACATTTAAAAAGCGTTGGCAACTAACTAAAGAGAAACTCAAGCAATGTGAGCTGAAGAGAGCTTCAAGAGCCGAGTCCGCCCTGCTGGCCTGCAGACAGCACCGGCTGTGCAGGGCCGGCATGGACCTGGCACTGGCTGGGTTGCAGGACTCGCCTGAGCTGCAACCCAACAAGGGAGGGTCACCCTTCACACCTCTCGCTGAGGCTGGTCAGCCTTCCTGCTTCCCTTGGTTTCCTGGGAAATGGTGCTCCAGGCTGTCCCTCAGCGGACATAAGGGAATCCCTCAGGGGATCAGCAGTGCTTTAGGAAACACACAAGGCTAAATGCATTTCCTTCATTTTAATTAAAAAATAAATAAATACATGCCAGAGGGACCTTCTGAGTGAGGAAAGAGGAAAAAGAACAAAACCACCAGAACCCACAGGGACACCTTATTTCTAGCCAGCAGGGAACCCCAGCCAGGTCGAGGGGTGGTGGGTGGTCCAGCCGGGGACATGCCAGGCAACTCTTGAGGCTGGAAAGGGGACACAGGCTCCACCCTGGGTGGCTTAGCCCCAGCGGGGTTGGGACATCCTGCCTGGGGAGTAGCCAGTCTCCACGGGGCCCCCACCCCGGGCTGTAACTGTCTCCCACAAGGCCCTTCCTCTCGGTGGCACCTGGGGAGCTGGGAGAGTCTGCGAGGTGGCTGGATCTGGAACGTGCTGAGGCCCCGGGAACAGCAAGAACCACAGACCCTGGGAGCTGCTCCAGCCCAGTCAGCCCGGCCGGACAAGAAGCACCAACTCCCAGTGTGGGACGGGGCTCCCAAGGAGTGGCCAGGGAAGAGTCTGGGCCACAGGCAGGCAGAGGCCCAGGACGGTGGGAACCCGTCAGGCACTGGGTCCCCTGCTACAGGAGGCTCAGCACCGACCACCAGGCAAGGATGGCATTGCAGGCAGTGACCAGGAGGAAGGTGGCACCCACAAGAGCCCTACAGGTGGATCCATTTGTTCCAGTTGACCTCGTGGGGGAAGACTCGGCCCAGCCGCAGGGCGCAGTCCAGCGTGGGCTCGTAGAATGCCGTGGGGGGCTCGCTCAGGCCAGAAGGCGCCTCTGCCTCTTCTACCTCGGGCACAGAGAAGAGCGACACAGCTGCAGACTTCCTCAGCCAGCGCTTCCGGATGCAGCCCAGGGACTCCAAACCCTGCAGATAGCAAGCGCGGGTCATGGTGCCACCCTCACACACTTATGGAGCCTACCTCAAGCCAGGGAGCCGCTTCCCAGGGCAGGGACACCTGAACTTGGCTGTCAGACAGGTGGGGATTTCCCAGGAGGGCTTGGGCAAAAGGCAGAGTGGGACTCTCGAGAGGGGCTGCCCTGCAGTGCGGGATGGGGGGCAAGTCGGGGATCCCACTTCTGGAGGGGGTGCAGCCAGGCCACACATGGGTTTCCTAGGGGCCAGGCCTGACTTCCAGGTAGGCTCTTGAGTGGCCCGTGTGCCCCTTAGTGCCGAGGACATCTCACAGTGAACCTCAAGCTCTGACTTCTCCAGGCACTGGGGCACCTCTGGGCACACAGGGCGTGGGGTGCAGGCGGCCCAGCTGGAGACCACAGCTGCAGGGCTGCGTGGCTCCTCCACCTGTGTGGCCCCATGGGCTCCAAGTCAGTGATCCCCACTACAGAGAAAGCGTCAGACAAGAGTCCGGAAACCCGTCTTTTAGCTTGGGCAGCAAAGGACGCTGGAGGGAAGCTGAGGGGCAGGAGCCCAGGGAGTGCTGGGGCTCAGGGGTGGACTGCTGGAAACAGGCCGGCCCGGAGGAGCGAGTGGGAGCGAGTGGTACGGTGGGGACAGGGAGCACACATCTCCTGGCCTGCTGTTCCCACCCCCCAGGCCGGGAGGGCTTGCACCTGGAGCAGTTCCAGCACGGCGACGGGCTGCAGGACGCCCTGGTAGTGGCGCAGTAGGCAGCTCTCGGGGATGCCGGGCCGGGTCATGATGTGGTACAGCAAGGCCTCCATCATGCCCTTGCACACAGGCATGTTCAGGTGGCCGTCCACCACGCGCCACGGGCGGCCGATGAAGCAGATGCTCTCGCAGTCCCTGCAGGATGTCGGTGTCAGGCTCAGTGGGGGCGGGGCAGCATCGTCGGACGGGACTGGAGGCTCAGGAAGGCCCGCCCTGGCCAGGTTATGGGGCTGGGGACCGGCCACCCCCGTTCTCTGTTCTCCCCTTCCCCCACCTGGACTGTGGGCCCCAGACACCGGCTAGGTGGAGCGTGGTGTAGAGGCCTGCTCAGATGATGTGACTGAGCCCAGGGGGGCCTCTAGGTCCCTCTGCATCAGCAGGAAGGGGACAAGGATTAGGATCCAGGGTCGCCAGCTCCACCTGGCACCTGGGGGCCAGCGGCTACCTCCCTCCTCTGGCTGAGCACAGAAGCTGCAGCCCAGAAGCTCCAGCCCAGAAGCTCTGTTCCATGCTGTGAGCGGGGTTTCAGACACACTTTCCTCTTAATAGAAGTTTCTACTACTAAACCAGGGACTGATGCGCCACACAGGGCCCAGGTATGAGACAAGCCTGGGACCACCAGCTGGACACTGCTGTGACCTCTGTGGCTAGGCCCTGGGAGGGCCACGTCTGTGCTCCTGGGAGCCAGGACACAGGCACTCGAGCCCTGGCATGCCGAGGCAACGCACACACCTGCAGGAAGCACTCTGCACCAGAAAGAGCTGAGACCCCTCAGCTGTGGGCACAGCAGTCCCTGGGGCAGCTGGATTGGCAGTGGGGTCCTCTAGGCTAACTGGCCACACACGAGCTGTGTGGGGGCAGGGGCAGCAGCTCCCTGGGCCCCTTGCTCATCCGGAGGGTGGGGTGAGATGCTCGTGGGCTATGGGGAGGCCCAGCGACACCCAGGCGAAAGCAGCTGCCTACAGGTCTCCGCTAGCACAATGGCCCACGGCTCCAAGCTGGTCTGTTGCTGCAGACGCCCAGCACGCCCGGTCCTCGCCCAGTGCTTCTGCCAGGGACCACTGTGGCAGGCAGACTGCACAGGCGGCATCTCCGTGGAAGACCCATGTGTGACATCCTGAACCCTGAGAACAAACGTCCCCCAGGCTCAGGTCTGAGCCAGAACCCACACTCACCGTTCCCGTGCTGCCTGGGAGAGGTCGCTGGCCCGCAAGTTCTCCGCAAACCCTGACAGAAGAGGAAATGGGTTAAGATTCAGGAAGTGGGAGAAGCAATCTCTGCTCCCCTTGTCCCACACGGCCGGACACCAGGAGTGTCTCGGCACAAGTGGTGAAGAAAAGGACGACGACGTCCCCTCACGGCGCCGCTCTGTGGCCAGTGGCAAGGGCTCCACCCCGCAGAAAGGCATGGGGCAATCAGGGCTGAGGATGGGAGGGTGGGGCGGAGTGGGGTAGGGCAAGATGGTACCTCTGGGGTCTTCAGAGCCTTCTGCAAGCTGGGCCTGGCAGCTCAGCTGCTCTTGGCCTGGGGGGATGGGTACCCCAACACCAGCGTGGTCCTCCTGTCCTGCCCCACCTGCAGCACTGTCTTCAGGAGCCAGGAATACAGCCAGGGCCTGGGCTTCTGCCCCCTCTTCAGCTCTGGGGCTAGGGGCCAAGCGCACGTCCTGGAAGGTGGGCCTCTTTGAGGGGGGCGTCTGGGCACTCTCGGTGTTGGTCTCCCCAACCTGGCTGGCCCAGCTGGCACGCCTCTTGGCCCTCTGGGGGCCCTGGGAAGGTGGTGCCTGCCGCTCAGGGAGGCCATCCTCGCCAGAAGGCCCCTCCAGGGTTCTGGTCTGGGTGTCCTCTCTTTGGACATCAGTGTTGTCCTGTTTGCCTTTCAGTCGCACCGAGTGCAGGAGCCAGGGCCAGGCAGAGGCCACGGCCACCAGGCGAAGGGTGTTGGCGCCAACTTCCAGCAGCTCCTGTTGCTCCACGAGGTCCTAGGGAGGAAGACACACAGGTCTGTTGGGAGCCCAGGGTCATTGGGGCTGGCTCACGGGTGACAAACAGGGTGGCCTCCCTGCCTGAGTAGGTGTCGGCCCAGATCCATGAGACGGGCCTGGATTTCAGCCCCGGGTGTGCTACTAGCCAGCTGTGCCTGCTAGCCAGCCTTGTGCCTGGGGCTGTTCCCTCTCTAGGCTCGCTGTGGCCATTCGCGAAATGAGTTAGATAAGTGACCGTCGAGGAACCAGAGCTGTACCCTCAAAGTCGCCTCAGTGTGTACCTAAAGGACTCAACAGCCCAGTTCCATCAAGCTCTCCTGCAAAAGCCATTGTCAATGCATGCGCATGACAAGAATTAAGCCTTCTCACACTCACACCACACCTGCTTTGGGGTCCTGGCTACTGTCTAGGAGGTGCACAGGGTGACACCATCCCCTTCTTTTTGTTTTTACATAAAAACCCCACAATTTAGGGTTCAAGGAACTTGCTCCACTTGACAGCTGGCAACCAGGACCCATGTCCCAGTGGTGCAGGTCTGGGGATGGCTGGCTGTGGGCACTCGCCATCTGGGGCACCAAGAGCCACAGGAGCTGCCTGACCCGTCGCCTTTCCACCTACAGTGGGCGCCACTGTGTAGCCTTGGGAAAAGCCCTGTCCCTCTGAGCCCCGGCTCCCCTCCTGGGGCTGTGGATGCACCACACAGCTTCATGAACAGTCACCACAGGAACGCTCTTTCTTGTACTCCCAAGACCAACCAACAATGACAAATGCTGGCTTCCACTAGGGTTCTGGGGAAATCTGGAGGGTGGATTCCTGGAGCCCTGTCTGTCCTGGGGTCTCCCAGCCCTTGAGGTCTGCAAAGCCTGAGCCGGCCCCTCCACCCACTCTTACAGTACAAGGCAGATGCGCCTGCATGATGCCAGCTGCTACCAACCACCAGCTATAGATGAGGTACAGGACACGCTGGGCCCCGAGGGACGAGATTTCACTGCTCAACAGGCAGGTGAAGTGAGGAGAATGTGTCAGTGCAGGAAGTCAGGGCATCTTGGGGACAGCAGTGAGAGTGGGAGGACATGGCCCATTTGGGAGGGACTGCGCAGCTGGCCTCCAGCCACCTGTGCTGAAGGACAGGTCCATGTGGCCGGGCCTTCCAGCAATCAGGAGAGGCTGGATTTTAGGGGACATGCCCTGGTTTTGAAATATTGGCAACGAATTCAATTTCTTTTTTGTTTTTTTGAGTTGGAGTCTCACTCTGTCACCCAGACTGGAGTGCAGTGGCCACTCCCGGTCACCACAGCCTCGACCTGCAGGGTTCCGGCGATCCTTCCGCCTCAGCCTTCCAAGTAGCCAGAATTACAGGCATGCGCTACCACGCCCGGCTGATTTTTTGATTTATTGTAGAGATGAGGTCTCGCTGCCCAGGCGGGTCTCGAACCCGCGGGCTCAGGCAATCCACTCACCTCAGCCTCCCAAAGGCGCGGAATTACAGGCTGAGCCACCGAACCCGGCTTCGATTTCTGTAAAAATACACTGCAGGATGCCCCAGACAACCCCCCTCATTGTGCGTCTGGCCTGGGAACCAAAACGCTGCCCTAGTGACATTGGGCTTACCTGGATGTAGTCTGTGAACGTCTGGGTGCGCTCACCACTCATCTCCTCTAGGGCTGAGAATCGTCTGCGCAGCTCCTCCTTGTCAACCCCAAAACAACCCGTGGCAGCCACAGCTTCCTGGATCTCTAAGGCCGCAGCCACGTCCTCAGGCTTGTACCCAAACAACTCCAACTGGCCGGCCAGGTCCTCCAGGTGGCAGGTCTTTCCTCGGGGGTTTACCAGCCTGGTGAAGGCGTCAGGGAGGCAGGAAGTTCCTGCCCTCAGCTCTTCCAGAGAAGTGGCTGCGGGGATGCGGGGGAAGGTCAGAGGGAGCCTGACAGAAGGCTCCCTCCCCAGGCCAATGCACAGGTGACATCGGGGCAGGACACACCCTAGCACCAATTCACTGCTTCCCCAACAGCCACGGAAGTCGCCTGAGTGGCTCTTGACCCTTGGCCCTGACTGCAGCTGACTGGACTGGATTTCTCCTGGCCACTGTGATTCTCCTGCTCAAGATGGAAAGCAAAGGACATGGAGGCCAGGGGCTGGGATCCAAGATCTGTAAAGGCCAGGGTGCTAAAGGGAGTTCCCCAAGCAGGGCTGCCCTGGCCTGTCCCTTCCTGCTGCTCGTGTGCTCCTGGTTCCCTAGATTCTGTGACATGCCTGGGCTCTTCTGATTCAATCCTGATTCCACTTACCCTGGCCAGGGCTGGTGTCTGTTGCTGTCTATAAAAGACCTCTCTGCTAAGGCCAAACTCTACAGGTTATCACTACATTTTTCCTGGTCCAAAACTCCCAATCACAGAATTCCAACTGTGGTTACAAAACCAACAGTAAACACCATCAACCTCAACAATGCATCCCACTTTACTGAGCTCCATAAACACAATTCATAAGGCGATAGTTGCCATAGAGAGTGATTACTGGGCAAAGTAAATGGAAAACCTTGCATCCTGAAAAGGACTCGCCACTCTAGATGCCTTTAAGTACACTCACGATGCATGGGAAGAAGCCAAAATACCCACATTAACAGGAGTTTGGAAGAAGCTGATTCCAACCTGCTGGGATGACTCTGAGGGGCTCGGGGCCAGTGGAGGAAGTCAATGCAGACATGGTGGAAACAGCAAGAGAACTAGAATTAGCAGTGGGGCCAGAGGATGTAAGTGAATTGCTGCAATCGCAAAGTAAAATTTGCATGGATGAGGAGCTACTTCTTACAGATGAGCAAAGAAAGTGGTTTCTTGAGATGGAATCTACTCCTGGTGGAGATGCTATGAAGACTGTTGAAATGAGGCGAGAGATTCAGAATATTATATAAACATAATAGTTGATAAAGCAGGGGCAGTGCTTGAGAAGACTGGCTCCAATTTTGAAAGAAGTTCAACTACTGGTAAAGTGCTATAAAACAATACTGCATGCTTCAGAGAAATCTTTCATGAAAAGAAGAGTCAATCAAATGTGAAAAACTTCATTGTTTGTCTCATTTTCAGAAATGGCCACAGCCACCACCAACACCCTGAGCAGTCAGCAACCATCAGCATCAAGACAAGACTCTCCACCAGCAAAGGGATTATGACTCGCTGAAGGCTCTGATGATTGTTACAGTTTTCTAGCAATAAAGTCTTTTTTTTTTTTTTTTTTTTTTTGAGTTGGAGTCTCACACTGTTGCCCAGGCTGGAGGACAGTGGCACACTCCCAGCCACTGTAGCCTCGACCTGCTGGGCTCAAGCGATGCTTTCACCTCAGTCTTCAAGTAGCTGGAACTACAGGTGCAAGCCACCACATCCAGCTAAATTTTTGATTTATTGTAGAGAAGAGGTCTCACCAAGTTTCCTAGGTTGGTCTGGAACCCATGGGCTCAGGCAATCCTTTCAATAGGGCCTACCAAAGTGCTGGGATTATAGGCGTGACCCACCACGCCCAGCCAGAAGTATTTTTTAATTAAGGTATGCATGTAGTTTTTTTAAAAGTAAGACATAATGCTATTGTACACTTAATAGACAATGGTATAGTGTAAGCCTCACTTTTTTCTTTGTTTTGTTTTTTGGGTTTTTTTTTTTTTGTTTTTTTGAGTTGGAGTCTCACTCTGTCGCCCAGACTGGAGTGCAGTGGCTGCTCCCAGCCACCGCAGCCTCAACCTGCTGGGCTCCAGCGATCCTTCTGCCTCAGCCTTCCAAGTAGCCAGAATTACAGGCATGCACTACCACACCCGGCTGATTTTTTGATTTATTGTAGAGATGAGGTCTCGCTGCCCAGGCAGGTCTCGAACCCGTGGGCTCAGGCAATCCACTCACCTCAGCCTCCCAAAGGCGCGGGATTACAGGTTGAGCCACCTCACTTTTATATGCACTGGGAAACCAAAAATCATGTGACTTGCTTTACTGTGAGTCTGGAACTGAACCTGCAACATCTCAGAGGTACACGTGGATGCATCAAGGTAAGTCAGCCAGCGTAGGCAAGGGCAAGGGGGAGGAGGGGAACCAAGCAGGGAGGGAAGGGCCCCAGCACTCTCACGCATCAGGAGGAGACCCGGCCTACAGCCGAGGGCTGGGAAAGCGGTGGGCTCAGTGGCTACCTGAAGCGTCCAAGGTCATCCACAGAAGAACTTAAAACAAGGTCTCAGAACTGGAGGAAAAGGAGGCAGGAGGCCACGAATGTGAAACGCGCATTGTCCCCAGCAAGGCGTCAAGAATTCCCTGAACACATCTCTAAGGCATGTAACGGAGGGCTGTGGAGGGAGTGGGAGGAACTCTGTCCTTCCACACTGTAATTAGAAGACATGAAGAGGTAGTATGGCGAGCTCTCGCCAGAGATGTGGGCACAGCACTGTCTGCTGGGGAAGGCGTCTTAGGCCATGTGCTCCTGGAGGCAGCAGCAAGGGTGGCGTGTGTCTCCCTGGTGCTAGCTGTGGCTAGGTGCCTGCCTTCAGAGCCTGACGCTGCACATTTCTGGAGTGGGTCGCAGGACAGGCCCGAGGGCCTTCCTGGCCACCTCCCTGCGCCCCCTCCCAGCAGCTCCCGTGGGCAACACTCACCATCAGGCCTCAGCCGTGTGGACGCAGGGCTGCAGCGGAGCCTGAACTTCACCTGGCAGGAGTTGACCACAATGTTGTCGTTGGGGTTGAGGTTGCGGGTGCTGACAATGCCAGGGGCATAGTATCCCCTCATCAGCAGGTAGTTGGTATGGGAGGCTTGGGCGGGTTTCACCTCCATGCTCCGGCGCCTACCCCCAACACCCTCGTCCAAGTCTTCCTCTTCATCCTCGTCATCCTCCAAGCCACCATCCTTCCCCAAGCTAGGAGAGAATTGAGAACGAGATGCCTGAACACAGGCAATGGCTTCTCCTCTGCCTCTGAGGCCTCTGGTTCTGCCTCTGCAGTGGCCTGCAACAGCCAAAGACACTGTGGCACCTGGTTGGGCTCTAGTATCAGGGCTGGCAAGGACTGCCACTGCAGTCATCTCCCTTCCTCACCTTCCTGCACACCATGCTGACCCGTCACACATCTGGTTCCGTGCAAGAGCTGTTCCTCTTGCCTGGATCTCTGTTCAGAAAACAACTCCTTTCCCACAAAGCTCCAGTTCAGTTTCGAGACCCTCCCAGAGCCTGGGCCAACCCCACCTTCTCTTCCTCTATACCCTGCACTGTCCCACAGTGCAGTGTCCTTCTTCCTGGCACATTCCCACAGCATCTGGAAGGTGCCCAAAGAGGATGCCTCAGGTGCTGCATGCAATTCCTAGTACTCATCTGTGAGCTCCCTGAAGGCGCTGCCACACCCTGCTTGTCTCTGTCTGGCAAATGCCTAGTGGTCACACGCAAAGCAAAAACTCAGGACTCGCTGGTTGAGTAAGACCAGAAGACTGAGTGGATAAAGGTGCAAACGACACAGTGACAAGGGGAACAACGATGCCCAAAGCTCTGTGAACAGGTTCAAGCCCACCCTGTGGGGAAAGTTGTGTGCACAGGGCCTGGTTTCCCAGCTGCTGTGGGCTCTAGGCTCTTACCTTTTGATGACCTCATTCTCCACCATCGAACTGTCCACCACTATAATCTGCTCCGGGATCCTGACATCCACAGAGATAAGGCCCAAAGAGAAAAGGGTCAGGGCGGCCACACAATGTCCTCCAGGGCCGTCCAATGAAAATGCCACCATGTCGTTTGTGGAGTTGCTATTATCCTGGTCTTTGAAAGAAAAATTATCAGGCTGGTCCAACTTGCCGGCAGCCCAGAGTCTGTCCAAAAATTGGAAGGATTCGGTGCAGATGGTGCTTGGAAATCGCCATGTAAAAATCCTACACAGCAAAAAAGAAAGGAAGGGTCTGACTGAGGACCAGTATGGGGAAGCTTCCCTTCAGACGGGCTACAAGCACATAAAATCTTTATGGTGAAAAACAAACACCCACCCTCTCCCCAGAACTCTCTCCTCCACCTCAAATGCAGGTGCTGCGTTTCCATGCAGAGACCTGGCGTTTGCGTCTCTCTTTCCCACTTGCCTGAGCACCCTTGAGGCAGGGTCCTGTCTTTTCATCTCACCCAGAGTTCCATGCCTCACTCTGCAGCGCTCACTATAAATAGCTGCTGAACAAGGGATGATGAATGTGCTTTCTGTGATAATCATCTTTGCACCAAACCAGCTCTGATCTTCTAGAGATCAGAGGACGTGCGTGTTCAATCTCATCGTCTCTACACAGTGCCTGCAGTCAAGCTCCTAACTCCATCCAAGAGCAACAAACTCTGTGATCCTGTAAGAATGGTCAGAGAGAAGGGACCCAAGAGGTCTTCCTGGTCTGCTGACCACCTCCCCTGTCCTCCCACGGAGGACATGCAGTCAGAGCAATGGCTCCAGGACAAATAGCCTCGTTGAACTTGGACCCATGTCTTCTGCTGCCTCTTCCATTGCCACTTCCATGGCCAAGGATCACAGGAGCCCGAGGGTCATTAGGAGTGAGGGCTTAGGTGGGAGGAGGTGCCTGGAGTCAGGCAAAGGGATGGGTAAAAGAAGCAAAAGAAGATGCATCGTGCTGTCTTGACTGCAGCCCCATGCAGACCTGAGGGCTGGCAAAGACAGTATGGGATGGGGAAGCTATTAAGGTGGCAGCTCAAGAACGTTCTAAGAAATTTCCTCTTTCTGTGGCCAGGAGGTTGGCAGTGTAATGCTTGTTCAAGAATGCCCTGTCAGGAGGCAGCTCAGGGAAGATGCTTCTCAAAATGCACCTCCACACCCCAGCCCCACACAGGCTGCTGCTGCTGCCGTAAGCCTGAGAGGCAGTGTGAGAGCCAGCCAGGTGGGAGCGTCATGGGTCTGGGGGCTGTGAGGACGAGGGGCTGAGGTTAAGCCCAACCAGAAGGGTGGACTTCTAACTGGACCAATTATCAAATCCAAAACTTATTTTACTCCATGTGATGGGAGAAAGGGAAACAAACTACTTGCAAAAAAGGTCATGCTGTCAACACAAACGACTGCCCGTATTCACCCTATTCTCATGCCAGGAAGGAGGACAGGTGCTGACGAGGAAGCTCCTGCCAGAGCCAAAAGAGGCCCGGAAGCCCACATGCCCTCAGGACAAAGGATGTTTCCTTTGTTCCTCTTCACAGACAAGACGTGGCACAGCCTCCACCCTGGAGACCACACTCCCAAGGGCCTCACCTGTAGTAGGTCTGAGATAGCTGGTAGGACATCGGCACGAAGGGCAAGGCCCGGTTCTTCTTGGGGCCCTGCGTGTGGCTGACCCGGCGCCGGTTGACCAAGCTCCTTTTCTGGCACTCCAGGAAGGCCTTCACGAGAATGTGGTCCTTGTACTCCCGGTAGAGGCGGAAAGTCTGCAACACAGTGGGCCAGGGTGAGCAAGGCTCTCATGTGGATGCACAGAGGCCGCGGCTGAGCCTTTATGGCCTTGGATGATGGCAGAGGAGCACAGGACTGGCGTGAGAGTGAGAGAGAGTGTGTGTGAGAGAGAGAGAGAGAGAGTGCACGCATGCGCAAGTGCACACGTGCAGTGGAGGCTGGAGAACGGAACTCTCATTCTATCACCTCTGCCATCACATCCAGAGACCGCAGAGAAGGCCAGACGCCTGGACAGACTGCAAGGCCAGGCACCTCAAAGCCTACTTCTTTGGACACAACAACCCTGAGGACCAACACAGAATCGCCTCAGGTACAACCCTGCCCCTTGGTCTCTCACCCAGCCACCAGCATGCCGGGCTGGCTCAACCTGCAAAATATGTTCCCACATGCACGTGCTCACACCATCAGAACTGGCCCCATCTGGTCCACACCACCACCCTTTCTCACCACAGCCTCCTGCTCACAGGTCTCTGTGTGTCCACGTGTCACCTCCCTCACATTCTCCACAGCAGCCAGATTAAACCTTTGATGTCTAAACCAGACTCCGTGTTCCTTCCCTGCCTTGAAAACCCCAAGGGCTTCTCTCCTGACTGATGAGGACCCTTGAGAGCTGTTTCTTAGCCTCACCCCTGCAACTCCACCCCTTGCTCACAAAGCTCCAACCTCCTGGGCCTGTACACTTTTCTTGAGAAAGCCAAGGCATTCCACCTCAGGGCCTTTGCACTTTCTGCTTTCCTAAATCCTTGCATAACTGACTCAACATTCAAGTCTCAGCTCAAAAATCAAATCCTCCTCTGTCCTGCTTCTCTGCGGTTAACTATAGTACACCATCTTGTGGAACTTTCTCTGCAACAGTGCCTCTCCCTAAAACGACCTAATTTGTTTACTTGTATGGAAATACCAGAAGAGCATAGGTTCAAATTTCTTGCTGCTGCCACACCAGTGACTGGTGCTCACAAGAAGCACTAAACAGAAGGAGGCGCCTCTGTTGGCCACGCCATTGTGCCTTCGCACATCAGCCAGCTCAGTTCACAGACCTGGGCCCTGCCCAGAGGAGGAGCTGCTCAGGACTGCAGGGTCAGCAGGACAAGCTACTCCAAGTTTCTGAAAAGAGCTGACTCAACCCACCCTGAGTTTCAAGCACACATCAGCCTCTGACAGCTTCTGCTGGTTGCAAAACTAGCTGCTTCTCTCTGGGGCTGGGCTTTCTTGTTTGAGGAGTTTGGGAAGGATTGCGGAGGTCCTGTCTAGCTCAGACCCAATGCTGAGCAGGATCGTGGGAAAGTCCACTCCGCAACCACTAAGAGAGGTCAGAAATGTGAAGACTTATGTGCAATGTTGGAAGTAAAAAAGAACAAAAAAACCAAACAAATCCATGGGCCAGACATGGCCTGTGGGCTGTCTATTTGGACTTCTGCCCTATGCTATTCCTTTCTGTTCTCTGTATCTTCAGGTTCCGATAGGGCTTTCTTTTCTTAACTGCAAAATGCTGGGTGGCACAGAGGGACACCTGGCACAGATGCTAGTCTCTCACTCAAAAATGCATATACTGTACCGTATGCATAAAACAGCCACGAGTTCAAGTGCCACACGGCAAACAAGTATAGGGAGACATGTATTGGGCCTCTCCAAGTTGATGGTCCCAGGTGTCCCTGCAGGAGGCACCGTACCTCAGGGTGATGAATTAAAATAGGACAGATCAGCTGGGCAAGGTGGTTCATGCCTGTAATCCCAGCACTTTGGGAGGCTGAGGCAGGTGCCTGAGCCAGTTCAAAACCAGTCTGGGCAACATAGCAAAATATCATCATTACAAAAAAAAAAAAAGGAGCAGGGTGTGGTGGCACGAATCTGTAGTCCCAGCTGCTTGGGATGCTGAGGCGAAAGCATCACCTGAGCCCAGGGGTCAAGGTTGCTGTGAACTGTGATCATCATGATCATGCCACTACACACCAGTCTGAGTGACAGAGTAAGACTCCACCTCAAATCAAACAAACAAAACCAGGACAGATCAAGTGTTCACCCGCTTGTGGTCTGCAGAGGCCTGACCTGCAGAAGTGACTAGGCTAGGCCAGCACTCTGAAGCATGGCATTCAAGCCTGGCCAGGTATTTTCCTTAACCAGTTCCATCTCCTGCCAGCCTCCCCCACCCACTGTGGCTGAAGTACCAAGCACATGCCTGGGAAAGATCTGCAGTGCACCAGCTGGGTCTACAGCAGTGCTTTCTTGGGGTGGTCCCTGGACTCCCCGCATGGGCATCGGGGGTGTGTGGCACACACTGGCTAGGGCCCCATCCACCTACTCCTGACTGGAGTCTCTGAGGGTGGGGCCTGGGGTCCACACGCTAAGACAACTCTTCAGTGGGAGCTTGGGACCCCTTCCATCTAACTTCATCAGTAGCATGGAAACATCATCCCTTTGTTTTCTTCTTTTTCCCTCTCATTCTAAGCAGGGTTGATTTGTGAATATGAGCAAAGGAGCAGACATTTAGGTTTAGAGGTGAAATACAAAAGCAAAAGGTGCTACCTGGAGATCGCTTTGGTAAAAACCAGAGAGCAGGATGCCCTTGGGTGCACTGGCTCAGGCAAGGCTCCCTCAGTGCCTTGTTGCTGGGACCTTGTGTGACAGCCAAGCTGCTTTCGCTTCCCTGACTCTCCAGTTTCAATACTCGTCCAGAGTAGTACGACCATTGCCTTCCCAGGCCCTTCCTCCTTCACCCTCCAGTCACACTAAAGCAGCAGCATGGACCCATGACCTCAGGAGACAGGTGCCTCGCTGTCCACAGAAAGGCAGCTTTCCCACACCCAGTGATCTCCAGAGCCCAGCTGCCTCAGCACTGTGAGTTACAATTTGAAAAGACGCACTGCATAGCTCGATTACTCTCTCGTTCCTCTGCCATGCCTCCTTTCCTCCTCTGTTTAATTTTTTGTCTGAAACATTAGGCTTAAAAACCTAAGCTCTGGGAGGGATTTTGGAGATCACTGGGTCCTGTCCTCATACTTAAAGATAAAAGAGAGAGGTGAGAAGTTGGTCAAAGGGTACAAAGCTTCAGTTATACGAGATGAATGAGGCCTGGAAGGCTAAAGTGCAGCATGGTGACGACAGGTAACAATACTGCACTGTACTTGAAGTGTGCTGAGAAGGAAATCCTGAGTGTTCTCACCATAAAAAAGTAACTGTGCGAGGTGATGAATATGTTAATTAGCGATTATTTCGCAATGTGTACATGTATCACATCATCCAGCTACATACCGTCATCCAACTACATACCTTCAACATACAGAATAAAATTAAAAAATAAAAATGAAATAACATAAAAAAGCAAAGTGGAAAGAAGTGAGGGCCTGCACCTCAGGGGAATCGGACCCCTGAATCTCCAGCTGAGAAGAGTGGGGCCAGCTTCTCATCTGGCTGGCCTCGGAAGGACCCCTCGATCTAGCCATGCAGCCGGGCAGCCAGTACCCACCTGAAATGACTGACAGGACTTCATCTGACTGTCCGAGAGGGCCAGTGTGCTCTGGATCAGGTTCTGGAGCACCAGAAAGTGGATGTCATCCACACTGAAAGAGAGAGGTGGCAGGACAGCATGAGGCCACAGGACAGATGCAATTCTCAGAAACGCTTCCAACCTCACAGAAGTGAGATGAATGCCAAAACTATTCACAAAACAAAGCACAATCAATGATGGTTTTTAGGTTTCACTAACTGGTCCTATTTTGCAGGAAAAAAGTTTGTCTAGTGGATAAGGGGTGGCATACCTAGATCAGGTTTATGACAATTAACAAATGCAGTTAGTGCTTATATTTTTCCACTTCTAATTCTAAAAAAGATTTTCTCCAAAGAGAATAGGCTTCTCACTGAAATACAGAGCCGAAATCAAATGGAATATTGATTATCCAAGATGGAAAAAAACAGCTGAGATTTTCAACAGAGTTTTGCCTGGAAAGTTCATGGGGTGAGAGTTCAAATCCAGTCCCAACCTATCTATTTAAGGCTAGGTCGGTGATATGTGAGGTTAGGGGGCAGGAGACTTTTTCTATAAAGGGACAGACAATAAATATTTCAGCCTTCATAGGTGACACGGACTCTGTTGCAACTACAGTTGAGCCCTGAACAATACAGGTGTGACCTGCGAGGGCCTCCTTGCATATGTGGACTTGCCTCTACCACTCCTGAAATGACAAGACCATGCCCTCCTCTTCCCCCTCAGCCTTCCCAACGTGAAGACAACAAGGATGATCCACTTTCACTGCTTAAGTGTATTTTCGCTTCCTTATGATTTTCTAAATAACGTTGTCTTTTCTCTATTTTACTTTATTGTAAGAATACACGCAACATACAAAACATGAGTTAACCAGCTGCTTATGTTATTGGTAAGGTTTCCTGTCAGCAGTAGGCTATGAGTGGCTAAGTTTCTGGGAAGTTAAAAGTTATATGAATATTTTTTACATATGAGAAGGTTGATGTCCTCTATCCTCCGTATTGTTCAAGGGTCAACTGTACTCAACTCTGATGTTCTAGCAAAAAAGCAGCATAGATGACACAGAAGTGGGCATGGCTGTGTTCCAATCAAACTTTATTTACAAAAACCAGTGGTGGGTAGGATGGTCCTAACTGACCCTGTGCTAGGTTGTGCAACCTAACCAAGTAGCAGAGGAAAGGTACGCATATATCAGTACTTGCCTGTTCAGTTCATCCTCTTTCCTGATTTGATCTTTTTCATCCCCAATTGCCAAAACTCGGTATCTGCATGAGAAACAAAATAGCAAGTCAACGAAACAAAGAAGATCTTCACTCACTGAGCTGATGCCTGCTTAAGATGGCCATTAGTGGCTGAAGTGTTGGGGGAGATGTTAACTCACCAAAAGTCAAACATTGTACATTTACATTAAGATGCTCTGCCCACTGAATAAGTGAGGACGACAAGGATTCACTGTTTACTGTCAAGGAAGCAGGATATAAAAAGTGGGCTCATTCAGATTTGACATGTAAGCACAAGAAAGACGAAGCTGGGTGCAATGGCTCACACCTATAATTGCAGCACTTGGGGAGGGCTGATGGGGGAAGATTCCTTGAGGCCAGACCATCCTGGGCAACATAGCAAGACCTTGTCTCTGCAAAAAATAGAAAAATTAGCCGGGCGTGGGGTGGTATACGCTATAGTCCCAGCTAGCTACTCAGGAATATGAGGTGGGAAGATGACTTGAGCCCAGGAGTTCAAGGCTGCAGTGATCTGTGATCGTGCCACTGCTCTTCAGCCTGGGTGACAGAGTGAGATCCTGTTTTCAAACAAACAAACAAGCAACAACAAAACAAACATAAACAAAGAAGACTGGAAGAAAATATCTGAAAGCAATCTAAAAACATTGATCTCATAGAGAGCGGAAAGGTAGTAGCCAGAGGGTTTGGGGCTGGGGGAGGAATGGGGAAAGGGAAGATGATCAAAGGGCAGAAAGCTCAGGTAAACCAGACGAGTCTTAGTGATCTAAAACTGCATGGTGATCACAGTTAATAGTAATATATTGTGTATTTCCAAACTGCTAAAACAATAGATTTTTAATGTTCTCATCACAAAAAAATGCTAAGTTGATGAGGTAATGGATATACTGATCAAAGATTTAATCTTACTACAACGTGTATATCTATCTATCTATCTATCTATATATCAAAATATCACACTGTACTCCACAAATAAATGTAACCATTATTTGTCAGTTAGAAAAAAAATCAGCCAAAGGAGAACAGCCATATCATGTGTTGGAACTACAGATTATTTCCCATCTCTTCTTTGAACTTCATGTGACATCATTTTACTGTATTCACACAAAGGAAATAAACATAAGAATAAATAATAGAACTGACTTTAAAAAGTATGGCCTTATAGAGAAGCTAAGACTTAGAGAAAAAGTTTAAAAAAAAAAAACATAGCCATTTGTAAGACATTTCTTTGGTTCTACAAAACTAAAGTAAAACTTCATCTTTGTAGTAGTAAATTCTTCCTAAAATGTAGTGCCAAGAAAAAGCATCTGTTTAGAAAAACATGTGAACTGCTTTTAATCAAACAAGGAAAATATGGAACCATTTTCTAGTTTGCCTTGCCTGCCAGAATGCTCAGGATCAAAATCAGAATGCTTACAACTGCAACTGTCTCTCTTCTCTAATGGTTGCCTGGCTCTCCTTTAAAAATCTTTCATAGTCCCCTTTTATGATTAAAAGTTGTCTCATAACTTTACTAAAAATACACTGAAAATTACAAATAGGTAAACAGGTGACTGAAACACCTTTAGGACTGAATTTAAACCATGCCATTTGGGAGTTCTACGGAAAAGTTTACTACAAAAAGCAAAACAAAATCCAAGGATATCAACTCCAAAAGTGACTTGGCAGACAGTGGGCACTACCTAAGTTACTAGTTAAACAAATCAAGAAATGCCATCTCAATTGACATGCAGAGAGCAAAGGTATACAGTTTACAAATAGGAACTGAATAATGAATGTCATCACTTCATAGAAGAGATCCAGAAATCGGGTGGTTAGGAAGACTTTTTGGATGAGGACGGTGGAAAGCAGGGATTTCCATTTGGATGATACCTCATCCACAGAACTCAAGATTCAGAAATTGCATAGGGGTCTGTGTTCATACCAAGCAAGATCTTCTAGATGTGGAGTGGTGGGTAGGAAGGAGTGGGGCTCTGGGGGTCAGACCCACCCAAGTTCAAGGCCTGGTCCTGTTGCTTACAAGCACAGTGACCTTGGACATGATACTGATATTTCAGAGTGTCCTCATATGTCAAGAAAGCAAACTTAGCAAAAAGTGTACCAACCAGGCAAGGAAGCCTGAATTAAGTCAGCTGCAGGGACTCAAAGGGAAAAAGAACGCAAGTGCCTGGCAAAGTGCTAGGAAAAGTAGGTCTCTCCCTGTTTTCAAGTCCCGTGTGAGAGATCAGGTGGCCCAGACACAAGAGAGACAGGTGGATTGGTTACTGCAGGGCCAAACCCAGCCAGGCAGGTGCCGTGTACTCCCAGAACTGCTGACAGACACCACAGTAGTCCTGGCCAGCTGACCTTTTTCTCTTGCCTGGCAAGGGTCACATGGAACCACCCTGGAAGAACCTTACCTGGCAAACAGCTCCTGGAGTGTGTCTGGGATTTCAAGGTTAGAATTCTTTAGGGCTGAACTGAACTTCTCTTTAAGCTTCTCCACAAACTCTTTAAACTCATTGGCACAAACCTTTCAACATGAGAGAATGAGATGTTATGCCCCTTCTTTCCCTCTAGGTTTCATCTTGTAACAAATGCCTGCACCAGCTCTGTCCAGGAACCACTGACCACGCTGCCTCCCGCACCACGGTGGTTCCTGTTGGCTAAGGAGGCCAGGCTGCTGGAGGCAGCAGACACTTACCACTAGATCAGGTTCTGGAGCACCTGGTCTCAACTGACCTGATGCCAATCCTCACACCTGCACCTGCAAAGTTCTCTCCCAAGCCCAAGGCAGAAAGACAAGCACATCTACACAGTCTCCAGTGCCCTTAGGTACCTCCTGTTGGCCAGCTTGTGTTCCCCCAGTCTCCTCCCCAGGTTTGCTCCCTCCTCCCTCTCTCGTCTAGTCTCACACACAACTGTTACCCTCAGGTCAGTCCCCTCCTCTACATCCACAACACAACCAGCTCAGTTCAGATCCGAGAAGCAAACTGACCACATCACCTGTGTCCCATGTGACAGAGGGGGTTCCTGCTCCTCCCTGGCCTTGTGGTTATGCAGGAAATGGCCCCTGCTGTAACAGGCTGCGGCCCTGGTGCTGCACCCACAGGGTCCCTCACTCCTTCTTCCCTCGTTGCCCTGCCTGGCTTTCATATCTCATCCAGTGCTGACACCTCTGCCAACAAAGCCCTCTGTGGCAGATTCTGTGGGACACTTGTTCTGTTCTTCTCCATTCTTTCTTATTAGCAGAGTTCGCCCCAATACACTCTGGGGAGACAGGATGCCTGGCTCCCAGGATGCTCAGGACAGTCATAGTCTAAGCCACTCATGGCAGCCTCAGTCCCTGTTCTAGATGGCTGTCTCCCAGCCACGTGACCCAGATTGTCAGGGAATCCTGGGAAAGGCTGCCCTCAAAACTAGAGCCCCATGGGCCCAGTGTAGTCCCTCTCCCCTTCTTCCTGCCCTGGGATTCTGCTGTGAGGACCTGAGCTCTAACAGTCAACTTGCAACTGAGGGGTGACTGGTATAGGATGGGAACCTGACAGCTGAGGCAGAGATTGGCATGCCTGCATGTACCTGGGAACCCAATACATTTACTTTGCTGTACCAGCCCAGGACTGCCTACCTCCAAGCTGCTTGGTATACGGGGAAAGGTTGTGTTTTTCTGTCACTTGTATCCAAAAGCACTGCTGGTCTGTGCTGTCCTCTTTCCAGGAACCGACTGCTCTGTCCTGCAATGGCCACCAACCTCTCTGCCTGTCCTACTCGCCTACAGCTCCCTCAGGGAAAGGCTTCCTCTCTTTTCCACTGGCCTCGCCTCACACAGCCTGACACGCAAGCAGCAGGTCCAGTGTTAGTTTAGCGAGGGACGAGCAGGCTCCAACCCAAAGGGCAGAAGTCTGGGTCTACAGACAGCATTCTTGTCAGCCACCACCTCAGCCCCACCTGCACAGAAACTAGAAAGAAAACTCACACCCTATTGCAGGTTTTCTAAGAAGTCTATAACTTCTGAAGAGATGTCCCATTTTCTTAACAAAACAGGCCTAAGGCACAGCAGCCTTTCAAAGTGGCGCGTCAGATCCTAATCACCTTTAAAAACGGATGCTTGAAGCCAAGTAAGGTCCAAAGCCAAAGAGCCAACAAGTCAATTTCCCAAGTGAGCAGGAAAATAAATCCATGTTTATAAGGCTGGCAGGGGCTCCACAGGGCCCAGAGAAGCTGGCTGGAGCCTAGGCACCCTGCCCGGGAGCAGGCTGGGCCCTACGACTGCATGGGACCTACCTTTGGGTCTTCATAGTCACATTTTCGATTCATGAAATCTCCAACAAGTGCTTTATCCTGGTACACCTCCGCTAGGCAAACCCTACATGAAGAGAGGACAAAAACAGAGTCAAGGTGCTGCAATGATGTCTATATTCAGACCTCAGCAGAGTCCACTGCAACACTGCTGGCTGTGGCTAACCGTGAGATTGACTTGCTTACACACCTCTGGACTACAGCTCTCACCAATGAAGAATGGCGTCAGCCAACCCGGTCCAAGTCAGGTCTGTTGCAGCTCAACTGTACACTTGGCTTCCCAAGCTTCCACCTTCCACAGGTAAACAGAACCGCAAGTTCCACCTGCCCCTTCACAGGATGTGGCCAAGCCCAAATAAGCTGACCAATGTGAAAGTGGATTGTACACTTAAAAATATCACACATTGGTTGGTATTTATCATTACTAAGAGTCTGATCTCCTCCAAAGCAGGAAACTGGCCATTCCACTCTTCTTCCTAACTCCACAATATAAGGAAAGCCTGACTTGTCCAAAAGGAAGCAAAGAGAAAGACGACCCACATTTGCTGGGCTCCTGCTAGACAGCCCCTGCACCTTCATAAGGAGCTTGCTCGGCAGAGTGCCTTCCATTTTATAGCACGGTAAGGTCAAGGGACTGCCTGAGGGTACACACACACATACACCAAGGCTGGGCAGGTGGGAGAGTGTGGGTATTACGGAGGTCATCCTGGCCTCCAGGTGAGGAGGCTGCCTCCGTGTGGACCAGTGCCCCGCCTTCGGCCCCACAGCTCTGGAGGCCAGCAGCGAGGAATGGGATCCTGGCCGGCCAACTCTGGACCCCCTCTTGCTCCACTGCCCAGGCTGCCGCCGGGAAGATGAAGAGCACCAGTCAGGGCTCAGGAAGCCTAAGCTTCAGATCTCACTTCACCTTCAGTGCACTATCATCCTGGCCAATACACAGCCTCTCTCTGGGCCTGTGTCCACTTCTGAAAAAAGAGGCGTTTGGACCAGGTGATCAGGGGCCTTTCATACAGCAAGTCTAAAATTCTAAGCACAGGGGAAAGTGGCTTCACACAGGAAGGCCTGTTGTTATAAGTAACTCAGCAGTTTTTCCCACTGGGAGCACCTGGAGACATTTCTGGTAGTCGTGATGGGCAGAGAAAGTGCTACTGGCCTCTAGCGGGCAGGTTCACACCCTACAATGCACAGGACAGCCCCCACAAGGAAGAATTATCTAGCCCCACATGTCAACAGTGCCAAGGCTGAGAAACCCTGCCTAGAGCTGAGTTTCCTCCACAAGCCAGGGCTGGGCCAATTTCTCGCTACAATCTGGCCGACGGCAGGTAGCCCATGGCCACAACCAACCTGCAGCCAAGCTCTCTTATTAACTTGTGGCATGAACCTCCAGCTGGTGGAGTCAGTTCTTCTCAACTTCATCAGGTCTGGCTGTAACATTTGGGTGCCTCCCTGCACCACTGTGGTACTCTCTGGTCCTCCCTACTCAAGTCTTCCCTGTCTGTGGAGAGACTTGGAAGAATCTGGCAGGGCTGGTGGGGCTTTATGGCCTTCTCCCTGGAAGAAGGGGAAGGTGGCAGCGGACAAGCCATGGGTGAATGCTTTGTGATTTCCAGGCAGCAGCCACCCCACATGTCCAAGACCATGGCTAGAGACGCTTAGGGAACACCCAGGTTTCGCTAAGCTCTGTGAGAACATGGTGGAGTATGTTTTGTCCAGTGATCTCAGGTCCTGTCTAGCTTCTTCCTGGAGTGAGCTATGTGATGGGCAACCACTACTGAGTTCACAAGAGCTGCTATGATGTTAAAACAGCAGTGAAAGTCAGTCTCTGCCTCCCCCCGCCTGCCAGGCACATGGTATTCAGGGAGTTAGCCAGTCTGTCTAGTGTCTCCTCATCTGGACAAAAGAGAAACAACACCTACTTCTCAAAGCTGCTCTGAAGGTCAAATGCCATGCATGGGAAATACCCAGATTATGCCTAGCCCTTGAAAAGTCCAGGTCAATCTCACTAACAGCCTCCAACAACTAACAGCCCATGAGATGGGTCAGTGTGCACCACTTTGATTTCACACCAGACTCTTAAGAAAATGGAACAAACACAGAGCAAAGAATGAACTAGAAGCACTGGAATAACTGTGTCCTGGAGTGATGAAATTTCAAATATGGCTTACTTATAATTCAGATAGGCTTGAGGATTTTTGATTATGTAGCGAGCTCTTCGTCCCACAGAATGAGATGTTTTATCCAAAGACTCTTCAAACGTCGCGTGCAAAATGTCCCGCACCACCTGCCAGGTGACAAACGGACCCTTCACCTGGATCAAACACAGAGCCAAGATAAAAATCAGTGTCCTCAGAGCCCGCATTGGGGAACTAACATAAAGGAGGGGGGAAATGTGCTACATGGAGCATCCTTCTTCAATGCATCCTCAAAACTGTCACCTCATGTCTACTCAACCACATGAACTGGGCACTGACCATGTGCCGGGCACTGAGATCCTGGGCAGACAAGAACAGGACCAGGCTTCAGTGTCCAGTGGGAAAGAGTATCTTCTGGCAAGCAGGTACCCAGAGGCTTGGGTGATACTGCCTGGAAGGGCAATGTATTAGAGGAATCTAAACATGTTTAGTGAGAGGTTTTTTGTTTTTTTTTTTTTTTTTGAGTTGGAGTCTGACTCTGTCACCCAGACTGGAGTGCAGTGGCCACTCCCTCAACCTGCTGGGCTCTGGCGATCCTTCCGCCTCAGCCTTTCAAGTAGCTGGAACTACAGACGTGTGCTACCACATCCAGCTCATTTTGATTTATTGTAGAGATGAGGTCTCACCAAGTTGCCCAAGCAGGTCTTGAACCCGCAGGCTCAGGCAATCCACTCACCTCAGCCTCCCAAAGGTGCGGGATTACAGGCTGAGCCACCGAGCCCGGCAGTGAGAGGTCTTAATGTCATTATACATCATGTATGCTCAGAAACATTCTGGACATTATGCTATACGTCACATTAGCAGAAAGATAACATATGAAATTAGCAGACTCAGAAGAACATCTCAGTCAATAACACATAGTGAAGTCAGAGCTGACATAAAGTAGCAGCTTGATGACAGGTTATTTTCTTATATCCCCAAGAATAGGTGGCCCAGAAAGACTGTAAGTTCTGATGAGTGGCATGGAGGGCCCACCAACACCAAGTTGTGTAGGATGCTCCTGGCTTTTCTGGCTGTATCAGGGGTGGGGCAGAGGGAAGGACGCCCCTCCCACCAGCACTGCAATGAAAAAGTCAATGCGGATGCAGGGAACAGAAGTTAGGGATGGCAACACATCACCATTCAGGTTCTTCCCTGGAGAAGGGGTTCAGGTGAAATTCAGGAGAGAACCATGGGGTGAGAGATGAGGGACACGGAGTCAAGAACAGGAATCTAATGAGCTGCCAGGTAGAATGCATCTGGACACAGGTCCCAGAACTGAGCTTCTCCTGGCTGGCATGGAGGGGACCAGTAGACAAAGCCAGGTTTCTGTGAAGCTGCCTCACCCATTCTACCTGGTGGAACTACTGCCAGGAAGGGGCACTAGACTGGACAATGACAGAGCTCATCCTCCTGGTGGATTCTGGGAATCGGCTTGGTTGGACATTTGCCCATCTGCATCACTCTCCCCACGTCTTGCTGTGGACTGGAAGAAGAGCACGAAGTAGCAAGAACATATAGATGAGGATGGAGAAGAGTTCTGGGGAACATGGTGGGGAGGCAAACTCTGGCTTGGGCTATGGATCCCTCTCAGAGGCAGTGACATCAGCGGAAAGAGGAAGAGTTTGCTAGACTGAGAGCAAGGCTCTCCCCCCTCGCCTGGGGATTCAGGGACACAGGCAGGGAGAACATGGAAAGCGAGGGGGACTGCGGTATGGACGGCAGGGGAGTGGACATGAGGCCTGGTGACTGGGCCAAGTCCCCTGTCACCACTCCACATGGATTTACTCAACACTGACACTGGAATTCTGGGTGGCAGGCACCATACTAGGGGTCACAGTGAGGAAGGCAAGTGAGAAGTCTCTCTGCCTTGAGGAACAGCCACTCCAGTGGGCCAAGGAGTGCCAGAAGCAACAGAAACAGTTGAGAAGTATACCTCCAAGGGACAGAGAGAGAACAGAGTAACCACATACAATTGGCAGGATCAAAGAAGCCTTTCAGAGAGGATGACAAGCAGGTATCGAAAGACACACAGGAGGTTTTCAGGCATGAGAGTAGGAAGAAAGAGCAGGAAAGCATTAGACTCCGGATAAAGAGAGAGAAAGAACAGCTAGGCAAAAATGTGTGTGTATTCTAGCTGATGGCTGAAAGGAAATGAACAAAAATGAGTGGTACTAATCTGTGGGATTCTAGGCAATGTTTTTCCTGATGTCCTGCGAGGCTGCGGTAAGAAAGAGAGCTCCTGAGAGGGGCAGGCAGTTGGCCGGCACCTTGGTGTTGAGGACGTTGCTGGCGATGCGGCAAAGCATGAGCAGCCCGTCCTCCTGCATGGACCAGGTGACGCGCAGCCGGGTCATCCTCAGCAGAGCGCTCTGGTCAGCCTCATCATGGTAGCGCAGCCTTTTGCTTTTTCCTCCTGGGAACTCTCCTAAAAACACCAAAGAGAGGAGGCCTCTATAAACTGGCTTGAAGCTGTCACTCTGGAGGGGGAAGGGTCCCTACCCAGCTAGTAAGATGTGACCAAGCATTGGTTATGATTCTCATTGTGTCTAAAGTCATGCAAGCTAACCACAAAAGACTCAGTCCCTTCCGACAGATTTTTTTTAAAACTCCTTTCATCATTTCTCTCTGGTAGACTTACAGTGACAGGTTGGGCGGCCTAAACGCAGACTCTAGTTAGTTATCTGCCAATCTCCTGTCTCTCCCACTGTGACACTAAGTCCTTTGAAGGCATCTTGTGCAGAAGCTTACAGTGCATGCTCAGGGCATGTCTGCTAAATGAACGGGACCATCGACTGCGGAGTCACTGGGTGCCCACCACACCCTTGCTCTGTGACCACAGAGGTGTTGTGCAGACCCTTGTGCACCATGGGGACAAGGCCTATGCTTCAGGGTTACCTTGAGTATTAAACAACACCGGGCAGAAAACATCTAGTGCACTGCCAGGCACGAAGTGGCTACTTGATCTAACAGCATTTACTAACATCATGGAATATTCAGTAAATGCCATACACTGGTTTAAGTGTTTTGCACATATTAACTTAGAATACTACTTTGCAACAATACTTATGAGATGAACACAATGATTACTGTCATTTAATTGTTCAGGAATCTGAAACAGCAAGATACAATGGCATGCCCAAGTTACCTAGCTGAGTTGGTAGCAGATATAGGATCTGAACCCTGAACATGAGCCATGAGGTTTTTCAAGGTCTTCTGCTCCAGGGAAGGTATTAACAGTAGTTCCACAGGGCATACACCACATGCCACCGTCAATTCCAAAAGACTGTTTTAGTAAGTATCTTACAAATTAAGGCAGAGGAAAAGTGGGACAAGAAAATCTGGATTCAAAGCAATACCATCACTGTATTTTGCCTTCTGGTCTTTGTGAGCCAAATTGGTCTTAAACATATTCGCAAGAGGCTAAACTGAGGGGGCCACTGCAACTGATGAAACACTATTTGTTATAAACACCAGCCAAACAAACCACTGAAAACAGGTTCCTGTTTAAGCATTCTATTCTTATCTGAAATAGCTATAGCCATCAGATTGTTGCTAAAACACATGGGCCACTAAAAACGGTCTAAAAACTAGACACTGGTCTCCTCACCACACCCTTCTGCTAGAAATACTGCCCAGACAAGAACCTAAAATGGCAACCTAAAAGGCACCACACGATCGGAAGGGCTTCTGCAGGCTTACGGGACTCCAGGCTTGCTTCCCAGTTCAAAACACAATACGCCTTGGAACTGTGGCCCGATTAGCATAAATGCAGGCAACTAAACAAACAACAGGATTTTGGCTAGTTGTGACGAAGGCTTTTGCTAAGGTTTTTTCAGTTGAGATGCGACTAGAAATCTGAACTCAGGGAGTTACTAAAGTAAGCGGTTCTACAAAATACAAAGACAGAGAAAAGCAGGGGAAACATATGGGAAATTCAAGGACCTCTCAGTCTGCCAGATGGATGTGGGAAATAACACACCAGCACACAGAGTCAACGCAACAAATCAAGGGGAAGAGGAAACCCGTCTCGGAGGGCAGAACCCGAGCCAGAACATACAAAGCAGGCCCTATAAGTGCAAGTGACCACGTGACCTTTTCTCTTTCTCTTGATCTTCTTCCCAGGGTCCTTCTTCAGCCGTTTCCGCTTCTGGCTTTTGCCTCCCCTCACTCTCCGGTTTCTGTCCAGCGTGGACTCTCGGTCAACCTCTAGCTGCTCTTCTCGGTCGGCACAGAGCTCAGAGCCCACTCTTGCTTCTCCCCAAATATTCAATCTGCTACTGCCTAGATATAATCACAGGAGGCAATGGTTTCAGGATGGGCTCTGCAAAGACCAAACACAGACTGAACACAGGGTGGCTGTGTTGGCCCTGAACTGGTACTGCATTTATTTTGAGGATGAATTCCTAGCACACATACCTCCAGCACCGAGTGGCAATGGGCGCTTGGATAAAAATGTCTGGAGCCTCACTGTGAGCCCATTCTCTGAAGCGGTGCTCTCCTAAAAGACAAGTATGGCATTGGAATGCAGCATGAGCTTCCACCAATTCCCAGGAGCCCCAAGCAACAAACGCACTAAGAAGTACAATCCCTGAAGAAGCCTAGGACTGCAGTGCACTGACCACCAGTGGCCAGCCTTGACCTGGCCTTGGGCTGCTTCAGAGGGAGGAGTCTCCTGTCCATCCACTTTATCACTGCACAAGCACTCCCTCCCTCCCTCCTGCAGGACCCATGCCACGTAGACTTTCTGCTCCTTCCTTGAAAAGGAATACCTGTCAATGTCACAGTGCAAGTTAGAATTAATTGGGAAAAAAAATAAAGCCAAGAAGACATTTAAGGGGTCTGACGTACCTTCAACACAAACAGAAGCTAATGTTTGTGTCTCTGGTCAATTCAGAAACTGTGAGCCAGGAAGGGGCAGGAGGAGGGTGAGCAGTGATGACAATCCCCGAGACAGTGGTACAGTGTGAGTGCCCACCTTTTTGGCCTGGTTGATGATATAGCTGGTCCAGATCCAGTTACGCTTGAGGTGTCCATAGAAACTGGAATCCAGCCCTGCGGCTCCCAGCCCATCTCCGGGGATCAAGCCTTTATCCACAACCTCACGGCTACCACTAAAAGACAGGAAAGAAATAAAAAAAGAGTCTCCCATGGTAACTGAAAAGAGACTCCAACACGTGGCACAGAGGTACGGATTATGACCAGCTTTTACCTTCCCAGATAAACTCCCCACAGGCAGAAGTGAAGATTTTGGGGCCCTGGTGCTGGTGTGTTTCCATTTTTTCAAGATAAGTCAAAAACACCTGATTTTTCTGTCAAATTCCCAACTGCTGAATTTTGACTAACTGATTGAAGTTTTAAAAACAGCATGTGGGCTAAAGTAGGTCTAGGGGCAGTTTTGGCAACAGCCCGCAACTTGCAGCCTGTGCACCAGAGACATGGGCCTTTCCAGTCTGAAATGCTAGGCCAGACAGGGAAGAGAAGGTGTCTGGGACCAGTGCCAACTCAGCTCTGTCCTGGGCTGGGGACAGCATGTTGAGGGACAGGGACGCACGTGGTGTACTCCAGCATGGCACACTTGCGCTCCAGGTTGTGCTTGTCGATGGCGCTCTCCTGCTCCTTCTGCAGGCTGCCCTCCTCGTCACTGCCCTGGTCTGTGCTGCTGTTCTTCCTGACACGCTGGTAGCGCACCACGCCTAGAAAACCAAAACAGGCCAGCTGGCTACACCTTCCTGTGGCGGCTTCGGAAGATGCAGTCTGCTGCTGGTGGGGAAAGGAGAGTGGAGTTCCTGTCTGTGAAAAGGTCCCAACCAGACAAGGAGGCTGATTGAGACTGGCAGAACCTCTTCATACAAAGCACCTTATAACGGGAATCTGAGGGAGCAGAGGAGGAGTTAGAACGCTGGTGGGTGAACCGGAGCAAAAGGTCTACACCAGGCTGAACTTGCTAAGGACGGAAGGCAGGCAGGCAGGCAGTCAGAGAGCCTGGAGCATAGAAAACCAGACTTTCCTGCAGGGACACCCCAGGAAAATGGAGCACCCTGGAGAGCTGCTATGGGTCAGCACAGCAGAAGCGACAGAAGAAATGACTGCACCTGTTAGCAGTGGCAGGGATCAGGAGGTACCTGCACAGACAGCAGAGACAGCATCAGTGTCCCAGGGACCCACTCAACTCTAGGAACAGCCAGATGTCTTCTGAGTGCTCAAGAGGAACACTACTGTATTTGAGAAACTGTGTCCAGTTATTCTATAATAAAGAAAACTATACTTCTTGCAAGAAAATATAAACTACAACTAAAACCACCACTGCTTGAGTAGGTGACGGAAGGTTATGCTAGTCTGCAGACTATCAAAGACAGTCTCCCGCCAGGCTCGGTGGCTCAGGCTGTAATCCCGTGCTTTGGGAGGCCGAGGTGAGTGAATTGCCTGAGTCTGTTGGTTTGAGACCCGCCTGGGCAACTTGGCGAGACCTCATCTCTACAATAAATTTTTAAAAATTAGCCAGGCATGGTAGCACACGCCTGTAGTTCCAGCTACTTGGAAGGCTGACGTAGAAGGATCGCCAGAGCCCAGCAGGTCAAGGCTGCAGTAGTCGGGAGCATGCCACTGCACTCCAATCTGGGAAACAGAGTGAGATTCCAACTCAAAAAAGAAAAAAAAAAAATTTGACAGTCTTCCAGTATACTTAGATAGAGAACTTAGCTTGGCTTGATGGCATGGGGAGGGCATGGGGCACCGGGAGTTTGTGCTCTGCGCCTCGCAGCTAGAACTTGACATAAGACACCTTGTTTAAGCTTCACCTCAGTACCATATGGTGGAGGCAGTGGCATTCTCAGTTGAGAAAAAAAGAAACTAAGACTCACAGAGGTCATGAATAACATGTCCAAGGTTATCAGCTGAACGGACATGAAACTGAGAGTGCTTAAGGCAATACGTCTCACGTACAAGTGACAGCTGCACCACCAAGTCACTTGCTAAAAATGCAGACCCTCTGAATAGGGCCCAGCAACTGGCATTTCAGTATGTTCTTCGGGTGGCTTGGTGCATGCCAGTGCTGGGCAGCACCTGCTTTAAAGTGTGATGCCGTCTCATCATACGATGCTTTCCCCAGTCCTGGGGGCACAGCCTCTTCAAGTGTTTGTAGAATGAAAGAGTGAGCAATCAATGCCTGATTAATGGGTTCAATAAGCCTCCAACACTTCTGCCCATGAATCCCTGAAGGGATGGAAAGTCACCAATTGTCAGGCCTGAAAAACTCTGGTGCAAATTCACACAGGTTCACAAATTTTTTATCGAGGCATAAAATGCAGGGGAATTTGGGCATTATTAAAATCTAAGTGGTAAAAACCTAGTGTACTGTTGAATGCACTGCTGAATGCCTGTTCTAAAATTTGTCTGGATCCATTAAAGTTTCTAAACACAAGTGCTCTGTTGGCATTAAATAATTCTGCCAGGTAAATTTGTGACTCCTGCTTTGTGGAAATCAGTGTGACACAGAACCTTCAGCTCTGCGATGGGAGGAGAAAGGAATTGCTCTCATAGGCCCAAGTTGAATGCGGCATCCTTTTCCTCTGGTAGCAGCGGCAAGAAAAGACCAATGGAGAATGGCTGGGAGGAAAAAGCACTGGAGTGTAGGCTCTATTCTCGTCCTCAAATCCCTCCGTCTAGTCAATTAGCATTTGCTGGACGTTAACTGTGTACCAGGCACTTTGCCACCCTCTGGGGATAGAAGCCAAATTTCTTGTGCTCAAGAAACGCAAGACCAAATGAGATGACAATAGAGGTGCTGGAAGGGTATTCTCAGAGTGCTGTCTGAAGTGGGCGTGGCCACCCATCAGGTGAGCACAGGTGGGAGGGCCATCCCGGGGCAGGGAGAGCTTCAGAGCCCATCTCAGCCAACCCACTGGCACGTCTCATCAGTTCTTTCACAAAAACTCCTCCCAAGTCCCCACCTAGCCTCAGTCACCAGTGGACATCTCTCTCAGACAGGTCATAGTTCCTCACTGGCCTCTCTGCCTCCACTCTTATGGAAGTCCATCTCCACATGGCAGCCAGAGTGAGCTCTTAAAGACACGAGCCACCTTGGTACTCCTTGCTCACAACCATGCCATGGCTCCTCACTGCCCTTCCAATAAACCACAACTCCATGGACACTGCAAGTCCCTGGAGTCTGGCTCCATGCTCAGCTGCCACCCTCCTCCCCCATACGGCCTCTTTTCCTTCTCTGACGTGTCACTCAGGGTCTCTGCCCGTGCACTATCACTGCCTGAAGACTCAGCTCAAATGTCTCCACCTGAGCCCTGAGGTCAACGTCACCCCATATGTCACCATGGCCCTCGCTGCACACCTTCTTCTTCAGTAGAACACAGGCCTCATGAAAGCTGAGTGGGTGTGCTCATTGCTGTGAAGTCAATACACTCAGCAGTGTCTAATAAACACCCACTCGATGAGCAAATGAAAAAAGACACAGTTGGGCTGCTTGAGCCCAACTGTGTGGGAGGTCTAGGGGCCGTTCACATTCAGGCTCATCACCCTCATTTCTAAGGGAGCCCCAGGGGTGAAACCTACCAGGCTAGGTGACTTCTAGGCTCTTCTAAGTCTAAATCCCAATTATCACACAGAAAGGAGGGAAAACAGTAAGGCCCAGCAGAGACAGATGGTACCTACCTAGTGGGGTATTGAGGCAGACACACTGCAGATCAAACCAGTAGTTTTCCACATCCTGCATGGAGTTCAAGACATAGAGACGTCGCTCGAAGGGCCGGCTGCTGTGGGCAAGGTTGTAATGTGGGTCACAGATGGTGGTGTCGACGATAACAGCGTTCTTCTTCAGGAAGATAAAGACCTACAGGAGACACCAGACAGGCAGATTCAGCGTCAGGTTTGGCTGTTTGGAGACTGTGTGTAACGATCAGGACAACCTTGTCTGGGCTTAAAAGATGTTACCTGATCTTTATCCTGAAACTTTTCCGTGGGACCAAACTGTAGCAGCCCCATGTAGCACAGCCTCTGGAGGTTCTCCACCACTGAAAATATGTAACGTCTGGAAAATAGAGGGACGTAGTTCCCATCATGCCATCACCTTAGCTGGTGGCAAGGGTCGACACTGGTGCAAGGGATGCCACTCACTTCTCTTTTCCAACTGGTGGTTCCTGGAGAACCAGCCTCAGGCCCTGCTGTACGAAGGCCCAGAACCACCCTTCCTAACACCCAACAATGAAGCATTGATCCTGCACTTGGGGTTTGATCTGGAAAGGAAGGAAAGGAAAAAATTCTCCAATACTTACAGACCTCAGCACCAGAGTTTACTTTAAAAGAACCTTGAAATCAAGTCACAACATCTACCAGCTCATACTTGAATAAATTAATTAAAAACTTGGGTTTTTACAACCTGGAAGACAGAAACCTTTTTCTCTTCCTGGTGATGACTGAGGACCCTAACTTTAAGGGGCTTGTTTGGACCTGAAACCACTGTCTTGGGTTCGATGACCTCACCTCTTGTACAGAAGCTGCTGCCGGATGGGCCTGGGGAGAAATCGGATCAGCGTGTGCTTCTTCAGAGGGTCATTGAGAAACTCTTCAAGGTTGTCCACCTGAAGAGGGGATTTTCAGATTCAGCTCACCCTGAAGGCCAGGGCCAATTGCAGAAATCATGGAAAAACACCCTCCGCTACTTTCTGACCACAGCCTTCCTGAACCTGCCCATCGGTCCCTCCTTCCTGCGCTCTCACTCTCAGCTCTCCCACATCTCTGCCTTTGGTCTCGCCACCCCTCCCTTCCAGCCCACAGCCATGCCGTTGGAGGCAATAAACAAGAGCCCTCATATCCTGCTGGCGGGCATATACATTGCTAAGACATTCCCGGGAGCAATATGGGAATATATTTATATTAAACAAAAAAGGATGATGAACCCTCATCCCTTTGTAGCCAGTAATTCTACTTCTATTCTTACCCTAAGGAAAAAGTGGGGCTGCCACATCTATGCCTACCAAAAGGTAGTCATCAACATGTCACTTACAGTAGCAAGAAAGTGGAATTTACATGTCCAAAAACAGACAATATTATGGTTAAATAAATTAAAGAACTCACACAAGAAGGAAGCTATGAATCTACTTAATATCGGGCTTAAAAAGTTAATGATGTGGAAAATACTGTTCAGTCAAAGAACAGATAATAAGAGTAAATATAGTCTCAATTCAGTTTTATTTTAAAAGGGAAGATTACACACATACATGGCACAGTAACAAAAGACTACAAGAAAATGCATCAAAAACATTAGCAGTAATTATCTCTCCAAGTGATGAGGTTATGGATAATTTCTATTTTCTCTATAGTCACCAAGTTTCTATAAACAACGTTTTATTGTGCCGTAATTATTTGTCTGTCCACCTACCTACCTATCTACCTATTGACAGGCCTATCAAGAAGAATAAATCTTTGAAGTATCTACCCTAGACCAACCACCCACCTGCCAGCCAGCCAACTGTCAATCTTATCTAACCTAATCCAATCCATCTAGAAGAACAAATCCTTGAAGCACCTTCCCTTGGCTGACCATCCTTCTAGCCTTTCCCCCCATCTATCTGGGCAGCTCCAAGTCTTGAAGAATTTTTCCTTGAACAGGGGGGCACAGGCCCTCCAGCCCGGAGCTAAGGGGCCAGCCCCCAGGACTTGTGAGGGCTCCAGTCACTGGTACCTTGTAGCTGACTTGTACAATCTGGATGAAGATGGAGAGGGGAAGACAGAGGAGAATGTCACTGACGAGTGCCCAGCCAAAGCCGAAGTCCCTGTGGACCGGGATGGGAGGGATGTAGCGCATCCACGAGGCTTCATCCACATAGACTAGGAAAAAAGCCAGAGTTACTTCCAGTAGACAGGATGCTGGCCCTTCACGGTGACATCATCTCCCCGGAGGTTGTGGCTCCCTCACCACGAACTTAGGCAAAGCCCCACTTGTCAGGAAACACGGAGGAGAAAGGAAGCCTGGAGGGTCAGGAAGTTTGGATTGTATGTCCATTTCAAACGAGGGGCTCTAGAGGGACACGGCCAGTTCGGATAAGGGACCATCGTGTTTCTCCCAGGATCCTGCTGCGGCCTGCCTGCTCCAGGTGCAGGCATGGAGGGGCACCTCACCTGTCTCTGTGGCGAGTTCCACTTCAGTCTCCCAGGTGACACCATCTTGGCTGTTTCTGGATGGGGCTTCTGAGGAGGCCTCCCAGGTGCTTCCAGAGGAGGAGGGCTGTGCTGCTGCTCTGCCTGGCTCCTGTTTTATTGTTCTCCTTTCACTGGTGAAGCTTGGCTTCTTCACTGTGTTGCTGTCAGGGTGCCCGTAAATCAGGTACCACAGAAACATGTGAACTACTCGCAGGCGAGGCATTTTGGGCAGAAATCCCAGAGAACGCCCAAGTCCAGGAACTAAAGCAAGAAAGAAAGAGGGTAGTACCTGAACAATCCCAGATTGAATTCAGTTCACTTTATGAAAAAACTACTGAGTGCCACCATGTGCCCAGGAAATAGCTAATATTCTTATTCTCTCAGAGCTTACTTTCTAGTGGGCAAGGACAGACAATAATAACACAAACCTAGAAGAGCACATCAGATGGAAATAGTTGGTGCAGAAAATAAAGTGAGGCTGGGAGGAGGGCTGCCATTCCACATGCAGAGGCCAGGAAAGGCCTCACTAGGGAGACGTCTCAGAGCAAAGTCTTCAAGTTGCTGAGGAAGTGGGCTGTGCAGATATCTGGGGATGTGCACACAGAACAAACCCAAGGGGTCTGTGATGGGTATGTGCCTGGCACATTCTGGGAAGGGCCATAAGGCCACAGTGTATGGGTGGAACAGGACAGAGGAGAGTGCAGATGCAGCTGGACTGGCATGGAGAAGGAAGCCAGCAAGGAAGGCCTGAGAGGCCACCAGACAAGGACTGCAGCTTGAATGGAACTGTGCCAAATATGTCATGATCTCAGTTCTATTAAAGTAGCTTACTTCTTTGTTGATAATATAAACTGACTGTTCCCTGACTTTCCCCAGTGTGAAATGACAAGTGTGAGATGAGGCAGACATAGCAAGAGGGTAGCATGCCACCAAGTCCAGCTAATTCTTAAAACATTTTTTGTGGAGACAGGGTCTTTCTGTGCTGCCCAGGCCGATCTCAAACTCCCAAATCGCTGGGACGACAGGTGTGAGGCATTGTGCCTGGCCTTGTCCCTTCATCTATACTTTCTAACAAGGAAATCCTGGGAGCGAAAGCCATACTGGGGAACTGGAGCCCGAGGGAAGAGAAATCACACAACTGACCCCTTCCGCTTAGAACCCCTGGGTTTGTGTCCCATACCAGATGCTGCTGACAGAAGTCCAGGCCCTGGTGAGTCAAGTCCGTCCTCCTTCCTGCACTAGCACATGTGCCACGGTCAGGAAAGGAGCAGAGCACCCCGAGTATGAAGCCCTGCCCGTCTACACTTGCTCAGCACAAGCTTGCATCAGAGCAGCTCAGGAAGAATGAGTGAGGAGGTGACTGCATTAGGGAGCTGACTCTGGGGAAGCCACATGGGTGCTCAGACTCATCAGTGACTGTGCCGCTGGAGAACGTGTGAAGTCAGGACAGGAAGAGATTTTTCTGTGGCTTACAGAATGTTTTAGCCCGAGGATACTTAGCAGAGGTCATTCATCCTTCCTCTCATATAATCTAGCATAACATCCTGGAGTTTCTCAAAAGTCTTATGAGGTATGCCAGGCAGAATCAACCCCATTTTGCAGACAGGGACACTGATGCCAGAAGGTGTGTGGCCAGGCGAGCGGGACCCAGCCAATAACTCAGATCTGATTCTTGTGACTGCAGCTCAGAGCTCAAATGGAGAATACCAAATGACTCAAACATCATGGACCAAGAAGCTCTCTTTACCTATAACGGGGTGATAATTTCTCAGCTGGGTTATGCCCATTTTCTTATCACTTTTTTTCAACCGTCCACTTTCTGGTCTAGAGGAAGTACTCAGGTGAGAATCTCCTGATCCACTCGGGCCCTCTTTTCCTTGGCTTTCTTCGTCTTCCTCATCTTGGGGCACTGGAGGCTGGGAAATTTTAACCCTGCAGTTCAAATATAAGATGCAATAATATGTTGAGAAAACCAAGGACTGACAGAAAGGAGGGTCTGTCTGCAAGAACTGGATGAAGCCACTGGGTTGCAGGGGTTTTGAACTCAGCTGCCCACAGGGACCAATCAAATTATGTAAATAAAACATGTGTCAGGACACTAAACATCTAGGAATTGTGGGTTGAGTGAACCTGGAGAGGGCACCCCCACAGAAGACCAATGTGCTAGGTCTTCTGACATGTTCATAAGTGCCAGAAATCCGAAGTTTTATGAGAAACTAATTGGCAACTGATTCAAAGCATAGTGGCCCAAACTTGGCAGACCACGCAAACCAGCAAGTATAAGCCAGATCAGCCTGCTGCTTGCCCATGGGCCATCTCAAGTTAAGACACCACTAAGAACTTTCCCCTGTGAGTTTTTTCTCAACCCAAGAGGCAGTTTATGAACAAAATTAATAACCTCAGAAAGGCAAATGGAATCACTGTGAGCCGTTATGAGGGTGAGTGAGTTTCAGGTGCCAGAGGCCTATGGCTGAGAGTGTTCTGGAAACCCTCTGTCAGATGGAGTAAAGAGCACTGGATTTTTCCCCTTAAGAATCTGGAAATTGATCTTTGTTTAGACTCTAAACCAATGAATTCCCTAATTTCATGCAGGCAGAAATGAAGAGCTTCTGTGAAAATGCTTCAAGACAGAGTATTTCCGAGTGCTGCCACCTGCCTGTTGGCTGTGCTGGAATTGGAGATCCGGAAGCGGACCTGCTCGATGGCACTTCTCACGAGGGGGTCGTTCTGGTCCATGGACGGGTGTACCACCAGATCCACCTGCAGAGAGAGGTCGGAGTGTCCCACAGGTAAGGGCAGAATTGAGGGAGACTTGACTCGACATGCCAGTTCCTAGTGGAGCATCAGTTATATCTATTCGTTTATGTTTTCAAAAGACAATTATGAAACCAAAGCAAATGTGTGGCTACACAGCTTGCATCTACAGCTAATGGCATCAAAACCCCTCAAGGGACTGAGTGATCAAGACTGGCCAGCAGGGCCGTGGCTGCTCTGGCCAGGTGAAGGATTCTGGGTTGGAGAGAGTCATCCACCTGCAGTTCCCTTGCTGAGCTGTCACAGCCCACTGGTCTCTGCTGCTACCTGGCGGGCTGCTCCCAACGCCCCACTCCTGCTAGCTGAGAACTTCCCAGTTGCTCGTGAATCCTGAGCGCTTCCATCTGGAAAAGGTAAGCAGCTTTCATTAATCTCCCCTTGCTGAGAGCACTGTTGTGGGACTCCTGCCAGGCACACTCCCAAACAAACTGGCAGAGGATTTAGAGCTGCCTTTGTTGTTTTACCTTTTCCGAGCTACTGAAGCTGAACAGTAAGGTGGCTATCATTTCATGAGAGCGATACAGGATGAAAAATGGAAACTGTGGCAGGGGAGTAACCTGAACACCCAGCAGAGAGAGGTGGAGTTGAGCAGGGTGGGTGTGCCGTGGGTGGCGAGGCACGACAGTCAGGTTATCCAGAGAGCCAGGTTTCTTGTCTGTTTCTGTCACTGGCAGAAGACAGTAAGGTGAGGTTGTCTGAACATCAACTCTGGCCAGCTTTATATCAAAAATGGGCTCAGGTAGGTTTGGAAACAGGTAACGGGCAGCAACAGCTAGACAAAGAACCTAGAAGGCCATACTTGGCTCAGTCTCTCCCGATCCTCATTTGTGAAGCGAGGACCCCCCTCCACCCCACTGAGCTGCCTGCCAACTTTGTGGTTTTGTGAGGCTCAAATGAGACACAGGTGCCATCTCAGTAAGCTTAAAAGTGCGATACAAATACACAGCATTGGCATCTTCCCATTTCCCACAGTCAAACAGCCCAGCAAACTTCCCAGAGGCCTGGTGGTCAGGGCAAGATGCAAGAGCAAAGGCAAAAGGCTGATGTGGGCGCATCAACCCAGCCCATGTGGCTCCAGAGATTGAAAGCTGCTAGCAGCACATGCTCTGGTGCCAGAGAAAGTTCTGCCAAGAAACCTAAGCCCAGACACACACACACTATTTTAGTACTTTCCAGCCAGAAAAATAGGCTACTGTTGTGGTGGTACCTGTGGCAAGAGGCCCCCATTGCTGGATACATTCATTTTTGAGGTTGTGTCACCTCTGATGTTGACCTAATGCCCTCGCCCCCTCACCCGTTCCCTCTGGTATAGCCTGGTGAACATGGCTGGAGACACAGCTGACACTCATGCCAGACTGCCTCTGCCAGCCCTAAACTGGGAGAGGGCTTCTTGCCCTCAGCTACTGCATGAAGAAGGCTATAAACCTACACTCTGAAGACCCACAGAAATCAGAGATGGTGCTACTGATGGGCTGGGGCTTTTCTTGTCCTCTAGTGAGAGATGTCAGCACCGGGACCTCTCCTCAAGGGACAAATGGCAGGTTGGTGGGACAGGGAGAGGCAGAGGCAGGGGACATTATTTTATTTTAAAAGGACTTATACCAGATATATAAAGTGATAAGAGCTGTCAACCTGGAACAGTAAACACTGTGTTAAAGTCATTTTTGTACTGCTATGCATTTTCAAAATTTCTCACAAAATAAGGCCAGTCGCAGAAGTTCACGCCTGTAATCCCAACACTTTGGGAAGCGGAGGCAAGAGAATTGCTTGAGCCCAAGAGTTTGAGACTAGCATGGGCAACCCCCATCTCTATAAAAATATTATTAAAAATTAGCTGGGACGGTGGCCCATGCCCTGTAGTCCCAGTCACTTGGGAGGCTGAGGCGAA